GTGAACAGTGCCATTTGATATTACCAAAAGTTCTTGACCAACATGCACATTGATGTCCTGGATTATTGACTCTACTACATCAGGAGAGGATGCGTCGACTTCTTCGCCAAAAATGGCGGGGATGCAGCTCAACAGAACCGTCTAAAAATAAAATCGGCAGTTAAACAAGGCAAGATAGGTAGAGAAGTAAGCTTATCTTCATACTGATCATAAGAAATGGATACATGATTTAAACAAAATTTTAAAATTTAGAAAGCTGTGTAGTGAGTCTATCGACAAAAAGTGAAAAAGAAAATGTTCTTTAACATGTCTGATAGCCTTGTTAAATTGACAAAAGATGTTTAGATATCTAGTGTTTGCTTTTCAAACGGGAAAAATAGATTCGTCTTCAATAATCATGAATCTCAGAAATCAATTAGGCATTCTCATGTTTTGCCATGCAGGTTTATTAATTCGTGGTTTATTGATATTACCCAATATTTATTCTTGAAACTAGTTCGAAATGTCAAAATTTGAGTTGTTTACACTCTTCATGGCAGCAAACAGAAAAAGAGAGATTAAACATGGGCAGAAGCTGAAATTAGCTTTCTGCGCAGCGTACACACGAGAGCGATGCCCAACCAACTCACTTCATCGTCGACATTTTAGCTCTAGTATTCATGCCTCAAACATAGTCGACTGACACTGTGGCGTATCACAAACTGCGATGTCGCGCAATACAAATTGCGCTAACAGGAAATTGGCGACATGTTCCTTGAAAGTTTCATTTTCAAAAATCCAAGTTGGGTACAAATACTGTTTTGAGCCAACAGGTTAAATTACTGCATGAAACACCTTCAATTATGATGACGTCACTTGTGTTATCTGTCATAATCATAACTGACCCCACATTCCTGTTATAGAGCACCTGTGATAGATGTCAGATTGTCGCTCGATAGTCTTTGACATATAAGTGTTAATTTCTGGGATAATTTAGAAAAAGTGACAGCCGTATGTCGAACACTGTCGAGTGAAAATGTCGAGCGATACAAATCGTGTGATGAGTTTCTGTTGAGATGTTGGTAGAAAGCTGTTAGAAATAAGCATTTAGCGGATATTTTGGATTAATCTTAATGCCAATAGCACTAAGGGCCGATTTCACCAACATTAATATTATGGACCAATGGGAAAATACCTTAACGAAATGCAATTTGACAGAAGCTGTCAAAGGTCTCAGAATATCAGTGACTTCTATTAAAATATTGAATAAAATCGTGAAAATTCGACTGTATTATAAACAAGACCACTTCTTGATTTCAACATGATGCTTTTGTACAGAGAAAACAGGTCAACTTTCATGTATTTTGACTTGTGTGTTATAAATTTACATTTAACAATCAGTTATCCCCAAAAGCCAATGGGAATGCGGCAAATAATAGGTCGATTTTCTAGCTGTTAAATTTGGCAGCAGATTTGGACGTTTGTTAATGCATGGCAATCTCGAATTTAAGTTCAATATACTGTTATCATTACATACCTGTTGAATAGTGTGGATTTGTCTGTATTTTGCAAGAAAATAGAATATAAAATACATTCCATCCAATTCCTCATCTTCCTTTACATCATAATAATATTAATTTACGGGTTAATGAATTTCTTCAAAGCAATAAAAACATTGTCCTCTCCATCCTAAAACACAGATAATATGTGTAAGACGTGTCAATCCCTACATCTCCGTGATGCATAATGCAAATACTATGGACAGAGACAAAAAATTATGAAAAATGTCTCACAAATAATGTCTTTTAAGTCCAAAAATCGAAAAACTATTAAAGTTTATTGTTTGAATGCCTTTTTCACTAGTGGGCTTATCTATCTGTCACTCGCAGGGTTGCCAAGTCTAACGACGATCACGTCCCGTGATGAAGGGTGCGACATGAATCTTTTACATTTGCTGGTTTTGAATTTAAAGTAGGAATACAAACATAGTACTTATGATAGTTGGAGCTAGACTGATAACACTGCTTGAGGAATATTTGAAAAATGTGAACACAAATTGCAAATGAAGTATCTGAAAATTCTTACATACAGTGGACCTTCGTCATAGTTTACTATCCTGATTATGATCATTTTTAGCAGATGTGTTGTATCATCAAATTGATGAACAAATATAAGAAAGCTCTTATATACCTACATACAGAGGATTTTTCATGTAAATTTACTAGGCATCATGATTATAAGCATCTTTATTGGATTGTTCGATCTGGAATGGAAGATCTCCTATTTATATATATTTTTGGTATCATCTAACCGTTGCAATCAGTGCACAAAAACTGTGACATATGATTTATAGCATAACCCGCTGCCCTATCAATATAAATTTAACATACAGGTCGCCTAGCCGTGGGGATGCAGTGGTCGGGATGAATATCACGGCAGCAACTGATGATTTGGGCATGTCTGGTAACAACGTATGAAGTGAAACTCGCTAACTTCACAAATTGGAAGATTTTGTACGATTTCTTTAAAAATGATGAAAGATATGTCTGATTTGGCAGGGTAATGTCGCAGCCAAATGGCAGTCACTCTTTCTGATACAGTCCGGATCGAAAGATGACGATACTCGTGAAATGTATTGATACTTCTAAATATAGGATCCTATCGAACATCCTTACTGTCAAGATGTATAACCCGAGGTACCGACGGAGCTATTTTGCGGCGTCATTTGCATTTCCAAGTGTTGTGCAACGATTTTGGGAAAAATTCCACGAATACTCTTATAAAGCTTAGTAGAGTATATTTCAACAGTTGGCGGAGCTTACTCCACTGGGACCAGGGGGTGAAACGGGATATTAATGCACAATCTGGCAACCATGTCGCACCCTCACAAAATGGCCACCCAAGTCACCGTGTTGTCATTGAATAGCATGGAATTAAACCTTCTTCAGAGTATATGTTTTGTGACTGGGACCAAGGGTTGACAGATCCCACACATGTGTCATTCGATGAGTCTTGAAATGCAATCATCAGCTGTATTCAATAATGTCTAATATAAATATAACCTAGAATGTGTACTCGTGAAAAAAGAAAAATATGGCAAATTTGTAGTTTTTTGCAGGTTTTAGGTTTGCTGGTAGCTTTAAGGCATATATTTGGGAATTTCTTAATCTCTGTGAATATAGTGTGGATGTTTGTTCAGTTCCGAAAAGTATTCAACTTTATGGATGTATGGATATAAAAAACCTGAATGGTTTTGTGGGAATATCAATCTAAGGTGCCATAATGGCTCTAATGAACGGCAAGTAAATGAATGATTGTTTGGAAATGAGCATTATCTTTTGGTAGAGCCTGTCATCAAGTAGGTGCTTAATGGCTATCTGCAAGAGGTTTATAGGAAAAAACATCCAGTATCGCATATCAATTGAAGAAAATAATATAAACATGAATAAAACATCAACAATAGTAATTAAAACATGAATTTTATTAAAACATCCAACATTTCTTTAACTTTTGACTGAATTATATGTAATTTCTTAATATTCAATAAGCTGGTGATGTTTCAATGACAAGCTGTCATCTCATACTTTGACAGTATTTTGTTTTCAACATTTCATAGCTATTGGTTGCTAAAATTTGTTGATTGGAACTTGAAGCTCATTCGTTGTATTTGACGGTCTGTTACCCTATAGGTGGAGAATAACGGACTGTTGTTGGTGAAATTGGCCCTAAGACTATTATAATAACGATATAGGCAATCAACTCATCGCCTGACATCTATCACAGTTATTATACACTATCAGGAGTGACGTCACTAACGCTGGTTCGTGTATTAAAGTTCGTTTCGAGTAACCCCCAACTCCTATTGATTGATTTAATGGCAAATTTACAGCAACCCTTCTCAAATATTTCTTACACTTTATTTTCATTCACGTTTTTTCTGAGAATCATATTTTTGTTTTTTCCTATTATGGTAAATTGTTCAAAGCATTTTGGAAATAATTTGATTACTTTTCGATGTTTTTTAAACTCGATTATGAATGAGATGCAAACGTTGCTTTCTAAATACGGCGCATTCCGATGGAAACAAACTTTTCTTTGACATCAAAAAAAAAACAGAAATATTGAGAGCAATCATGTGTCAACAATATATTTCCTTACGAATTGAAAAATAATCATACTTACTGTCAAAATAACTGCAAACAAGTGACGTGGTGCTGCCATTTCGCTTTGTGTAGGTTGATAAGCAGAACAAAACGTTTCTGCTCAAGTTCATTTATATGACACAATAACGATGAACAACAAACCAAATAAAGGATAAAATAGGATTTTGCGCTGTTAAATATGACAAAGTATTGTAAAGATGCATATATACAAGTTACCACAAACTGTATGACAGCCTGAAAAGCTGCATATCATTTAAGCAAATATTTTCTTCATCGTTTGAATTCATTATGATGATATTGAACCAATCGCGAATTCAAAACTTCTATATCGAAGTATCTTGCTCGAGTACAAAGAAGTTAACGATATCGTGTTGATCCTAAGGACAGTAGAACCAGGGAAAATGTTCCATATTGTTTATACCGTATAAGTAAAACAGATATCCAGTTCGTGATGTACAGGCCTCCACCGAGTCATAACGAGACGCAGAAGCCTGATGGGTTTGTTCAGTGAGCCTAGAATGCAGCATCATGCGGCTCAGAGAAACAAAGTCCGTTGACAGAAAAGAGCCAGATAAATAACCGACCGCCCGGTTTGATAGATGCTTGGAAGCATCAGCTTGCGCTTTTGCTAAGAGTGACATTTTGACTCTAGCTGGTTTTTCGAAAAACTAAATTAGCGATAAACATATTAGTTGTTAAATGATATTATCATTTTTAGATAGAAAACGATAAAATTCTAGAGTAAATATTTCAAAACTTTCGTTGCTGTAAAATACGTGATAGGAAAATCGAGTTTGTTTAGCTAATCATACAAAGTATTTTGCTTATATAATTTTAGTTACGAAAATCATTTGCCATCAGCCTTACACAAAAATGTGTAAAATCCTTGGGTCAATATTTCAAAAATTTTAGATAATGAAACAATAAAGTATATAAGTAAAAAAAAACAGTATGTCGACGCTAATCACCTAACACCCTACAATGAACGAAATATTTGAACAATGAATTTTAGTATCAGCATAATTTTTGGCATATTGCTGGTAAGTCTTTACTTTGAACGATATAACACCTCTTAGTCATCAACGGTTTTTTAAGAAATCTTTCAGATATACCAAAAGGTCAAAAAGCTCTTGTAATCAATAGTTATCAAGCATGCATGAGTCTTCACACTCTATCACTTAAAAATTTAATCATTCTAAACGAGTTTGAGCATCGATCCGTTGTATAGTATCGAGGGGCCTTACTTATCTCCTATAAGGTGATGTCATGTGGTATATAGGAGTGAAAAATTGAGTCGCGCGATCCAAACCGTAGCCGTTTGATCGCCATATTTAAAAATGGCTGCCACATTATAAAACGGTCTTCACATTTCATCAATTTGTTATTCAGATAAAAGCACTCTAAATCGAGAAATGATTTGTTGTAGAGCAAAAACCAATTTCGAACAGTTGAAAGAGTTGTAATCACAAATACTAAAGAAAAGTTTTCGCTAACATTACCTCCAAAATGGCATAACATTGAAAATCTCTGAAAGTTTTGGACCACCTCCTTATGTGTGAACTTATACGTATCCTCAGTCTGAATACGTGGCATTATTAAACACCTAACCGGCACGGGTATTATGTAAAAAACCTATATAACGTCAAAAAAAAACTATAAGATGTCATCTTGCAGACTAAGTAGTTTTTAGGGTGCAAACAGTCATTCCACGTTTGCTCACAAGGATCGTTGTGAACGTCCATCTATGGAAGAATCGCTCAACTAAACTACACGCATTGTTGGTTGCATATGTTTTGTGAGGCCGAGTGGTCTGTGTCTGTAGTTTTTATATCTGAGAAGAAAGTTGGTTGAATAGCAAGATCGCATCTGGATGATTATGTGTATTGGTCTGCATGTGTATAAAATCAGTGATAATTGTTGTGTGAGAAAATCATTACTGAATATGCTGCCGATGAAGTATATCTATTGGCTGTGAACGACGGGTTATTTATATGTTGTCCTTTCTGAAGACAGGTTATGTTCAAAGTTAAAAATTACGAAAAAAATTGAGGAGATTTACGGTCACCGCGCCCGCGTTGTGTGTAATTACTGTTAGCATGTGTATGGCTTGTAATTCGACAGTGTACAGTGAATATAATTATTTCTTATCTTTCTCATTTTTGAAATTCAGCAAATTTGTATATTATGTAATTTCAAGAATGGATAAGATAAAGTGGCTGCGCAATTAATTTCTAGCTTTGAACCTCGATTAAGTGTATTTGAGACAAGAATCCAATGGAATTATCAGCAACACATACAACTTACAGCTTAGACCTCCAGTAATGCCATCTCTGAAGTAGATTTTACATCACATCAGGGCCAAACATTGATAACTAAAGCGTCATGACATTTAGGTAGTACGTACAACTAAGTACTAAATTAACATCTTGTGGAAAAACCTAGATAATGTCAAAAAAACAGTATAATGTCAAAAAAATCAATATAAGGTCACTTTTCAAGATACATGATACCCGTGCGGGTCACGCGGTCTAAATCATCGTTTTGGTCGCCACATTTAAAAATGGCCGCATATCTTCGTAAGCAGTACACCGATTTTGATTTTTAAGCTCATTTTACTACTTTTTCAAAAGTAAACATTTTGTGATTATATATTTGTAATTAATATAATTATCATTGAGATAAAAGTCCTTAATTATCATTTTGGGAAGGTATTTAAGTACGAGGGCCATTTTGTAACTAAGAAAAAATAAAAAAAACGTTATGTATTGAAGAAGGTCACCGTTGTGACCGAAACATAAATTAAAGAAGAACTTTAAGTACATGTGGTTTATTGGCCAAATATTTTTTCGAAATTGCATAGATTTTTACTGTACGGTTCACAACTAAGATTTTTTTTTCAGAGCTTGGTCAGCATTGTAAACTGCCTGCCCGTACCTCTGAACATCAGGGTGCTTGAGACCAGCGTAGAAGCAGCTATATCAGAAGAAAACTACAACTTTTTTGATGAATATTTCAAGAATGCTGGTTTCATGAGCTTGTACTAATTGAATGAAAATAAATATATTAATCATATATGACTATCATATTTTCTCAAGTAGTCTCCTACAGTTTCATGTAACTCTGGAACCTTATCTTATTGTTATTGTACTTGAAAAAGGCCACCGTGGTGATCGAAATCTCGTACAATAAACAGGAAGTTAAATTGTAAATTGAGTGATGAAGACTGGCAACGTAGCATTCGATATGGCAACTCTGGACGCACCGGGCTTGGAGGGGACACACGGGAACATGTGATCCGCCTTCAGTATAAGTTTGAACTCGCTCGAGTCATTTGGTTGTCTGTAGCGATTTTTTTTTTGTGAAACAGTTTGTCCTATTGTATTCTAAAATGAATGGCATCAATTTAGAGCAACGGTGTGCTACCAGGATCTGCTTCAAACTTGGGCACAGTGCATCGGACAGTCTTGCTAAGCTTCAGCGGGCCTTCGGAGATGTGTTTTTTGTCAAGAGCCCAGGTTTTTCGGTGGTATAAGCCATTTTCAGAAGGAAGAGAGTGGATTGAAGATGAACCACGAAGCGGAAGGCCTTCATCTTCAGGAACAGATGGAAATATCGACAGACCACCGTTCATCAAATCACGATCACGATAATGCTCCTTGTCACACATCAATGTCAATAAGCGAGTTTTTGGCCAGTAAAAACATTCGTGTGGCTCCTCAGCTTCCTTAATCGTCCGACTTGAGCCCTTGTGACTTTTTTCGCTTCACGAAATTGAAACAGCCCAGTTGAAGGCTATTCCAGTATCGGACTTCCAGCACTACTATGAGCAATGGAAGAGCCGTTTTCAGCGCTGTGTGGCTTTAGGAGGAAGTTATTTTGAAAGTGACAATGTAAAATTGTAACTATATTTGAATAAAAAAATAAAAAAATCAATCTCATCATTTAATTAGAGATAGACCTCGTATGCGTGGTTAGATTTAAGGGGTTTATGAAAATTGTTATTTTTAACTGTTTTAGCAATCTGAAGTCTGAAACTTTCATACAATAATTAATGTAGATATAAAGGTATCCCAAATAACAAGATATTCCGTCAAAGCATGTTCCCGATAAAATGTAAAAGACAAGTGGATATAAATCACATGTCAGATATGATAAACAAATAGAACACAATGCAAACTAGAATCTGGCACAAATTTATTTTATTAAATTATAATAAGCGCACGTTTAGATTCGATCTTCTTGAGTAGAAGCTGGGATTATTGCTCAGCAATTATGAATAAAAATATTGTGAATCTGTATCATAACATTCCACACCAAAAATTGCTTGAGAATTAAGAGAAGAACCATTTACCCTCGAATTTTTGGCGAGCACCGAACGTTCTGCATTTGTGTACTTCGAGTCTCCGATGTGCCTCTGGATTCTTTGTCTGCCGTTCGGCCTTACTTGTGATCTAACTCTATGTTCGAAGTGTGGAACTTTCCGAAAAATCGATACACTTTTCACGGCTTTCGGTAAATCACAGTAAAACTACAGGCATTACTTACCTGTGCCGGTATTACGTATCTTGAAAAGTGACATTTTGTCAGTTTTTTTGACATTTCATAGGTTTTGTGTGACATAATGTAGGTTTTTCTACAAGATGTCAACTTAGCACTAGCTTTTTTTTATACTCCAACTACCACGAAGGCCTAAGGCCTAAACACCCATTGGGTACCGTGGGGTTATAGGGGAAAGCGGGAACGACACACAGACTCTGGCGAGGGAACACGTGTGCAAGCAACATGCTCCGCCTACGAGATCCGCCGGGTGGTACCTCCGCGTTCGACAGTCAGAGACCGTCTACCACCTACGGACAATCACAACATCCATAGCAAGACAAAAATTTCTCTTGGAACGGGAGTCGAACCCGCACAGCTCACGGCGACTGATCAGGAGACCGAAGAGTCTACTACTGCGGCCACCGCTGCTGCCTAAAGCTGTTGTGCACTCGTTTTGCCTAAACGTCATGATGCTTCAGTTATCAGTGTTTGGCTCTGACTATTTGCCATTGTTCGCCAGCGCGCATCCGCTTTTTATCATGCATTCTGGAAATTACATAAATATGCAGATTTGCTAGATTTCCAAAAAATCCCAGATTGGTGAAGTAATTAACTTTATGTGGAATCTTATATTTTATAGTTACATACTGCCACATATTGCAATTATATTCAGTGTACACTGTCGAATTACCGGTCGTATTTTCCGTAATTCTTCTCAACGTTTTTAAAAACACAAAAAAAAACGGGGAAAATCGTAATTTATAAGTTTGTACATAACTTGTCTTCAGAAAGGACAACATATAAATAACCAGTCTAATAATTTTCATGGCAAATATCACTGATTTTATGCACATGTAAACCAATACAGGTAATCATCCAGATGCGATCTTGCTACTCAAACAACTTTCTTTCTTTCACATCTTCTCAGAGAAACGTTACTTGGCTTTCTGCAACCAACAATGCATTGAGCGTGTCGTGTCGTTGAGTCATTCCTCCATGCCCGGACGCATTTGATGTCGCTCACAAGTAAACACATTAAAAACTACCTAGTCTGCAAGATGGCATTTTGTCGTTTCTTTTTACGTTTTTTAGATATTGCAGGCATTACCAGAATTTCTTTTGCGCTAAAATGCACAGTGCATGACAGTTGAAAACGTTAGAAGACCGCGTAGCATCCAACCACGACCGTGCTTTCTGCACTTCATCATGGTGGGTAGCGCCTGAGTTTCAATTCATACCACAAGTATTTATTCTTCCCATATATTTTTGTTTCTATGAATAGGTTTTCTTATCATGATCTAAATGGTAGAACTTTGACAAATTGCTGTTATTTTTATGCTTCGCAAAATTGGATGGTAACTATCTGTTATTTTAATGGAACGGTTATTGCCACAACGATAACGTTGAATTGTAAATCCTTAGGCAAATAAAAGGCGTTGTACGTCAGTATGATTTTTTCAAACTGTCATGACTAAAGATCAACACAATTCGCAGCAATGAAGCATATCATATTTGCACTGATACATGTACATGATTATAAAGTTGTCAACAAAAATATTCTTGGTGCATTCAATCACGTTAAAGCCGAAATGGCGTGCTCGAAACTGTGCTTACTTTTGATTTTAGCGGTAAGTGAATTATTTGTTTTGTTCATGTAATGAAGCAATGGAGGCTCTAAATGGGCAATATTTTTGTCGAATTATTTTGCTATAACTATGACAACCACATATGAAAATTTTGCAGCATATTCCAAATATATCAGCTATATCTCGTCTATATCTTGACAATACTGTCTGCAATGCGTAGCCATATACCCTTAATCTAACATCTGAAACTTATCCTGTGGTTTTCATGTCGATACTCCCCCATATTTCTCTGAACAACCGAGACCACATATGCGTTGGAAAAATCTTAATTGTAAACGTTTTGGTCAGTCGACCTTTGACTTTAACAGATAAAGTGTCAAAGCAATTATACTGAAGGGGGTCACCATTGTGTGTGACCGAAAGGTTTACAATAAATAAGATTTATTCAACACGTCGTTTCGATTGGCGAGAGAAATATGGGGGGTTAATATATAACACTAGTCAGAACTTTCCATTATTCGGGATGGACTTCGCTTAACAGATTGAAGTGTTCTTGGACGAAATAAAAAGCAAAAGCAGTGATGGGTTTATGCATTATTTCATGTCAGAGCAGGCTGGAGTTGCATGGCAGGATAAATACTACAAAGAGATTGAAATCATCAAATACTACAACAAGAGTATATACCTATATATATATAACAAAAAAATAGGAAAATAATGGGCAAAATTCCTATTTTTTGTTATATACATTTCTCCGCATGATTATTTTCTCTTTATATACATATATATATACAATGTGTTTCTATGGTTATTATTTATTACTTAACGTAGAAGACTTAGGATAACAAATTTGGTGTCATTTTGTAGATAGCATAGTTAGCTGTAGAATTAGCACAAAAAAAGTACAACTTCACAAACAAGTTTTTGAATGGTGTGCGGAAATGCACAACATAATCAATTTTCTTGCATATTTTTTTCAGGTTTTGTCTGTTTTTAAGTATGTCTGACGGTTAGTATCAAAACAAGTTTTTCAATAATCGCTAGGGCAACATGTCATGGTTCAAATGGCACCAAATATATCATTCTGTGACACTTATGTACTCAGCTATTACAATTTTCATACATGCACTAGCGTAATCGTAACGTAAAAATAAAACTGGATGCCATTTCAAGAGGGGTGAGGTAGGACATTGTAGGGGGGTGGATTTGTCGATAAAAATAGCTGAAAAATACCCCCCTTAAATATCGGTATATCGTGACCAAGCACATTGTATATATATATATACATAGCAAAAAGTCAGTAGGTGTCTAAGTAGTTTATATGTTGAATTTCAATAAATCATATACAGGCATCCAGGCAGCAGCGGTGGCCGCAGTATTCGGTCTCCTGATCAGCCGCTGTGCGCTGTGCTTGTTCGAATCCCGTCCGAAGAGAAATTTTTCTCTTGGCTATGGATGTTGTGATTGTCCCTAGGTGGTAGACGGTCTCTGACCGTCGAACGCGGAGGTACCACCCGGCGGATCTCATTAGGCGGGGCCAGAATGTGTGCATGTTACATGCACACGTGCTCCCTCGTCAGAGTTCGTGTGACGTTCCTCCTTTCCCCTGTATCCCCCAATAGCCCCACGGTACCCCATGGGTGTTTAGGCCTTAGGCTTTCGTGGTAGTTGGAGTATAAAAAATACAAAACGTTAGATGTTGCACTTCCACTGTCTATATGTTTGGAGTATCTTGAGTGATGACAACTGAGATGGCATCAAAAGCGATGGTTTGCCGCAACCGCTGCCGCTTTTACACTTTTTGCTGTGTTCCGCTTTAGCGTTCGTCTTTTAAATCTTTTATATGCTTCCTAAGCAGATATATTGAATTTTTCTGCGATTATCGCACATTCGTGTTTATTTGTATTTCACCCTCACTCCGGTCCTTGACTCAACCTTTCATAGTTCTGGGCGTACGTGAGTTGGACCAATAATTGTTATTCATAGTATACAAAATACTCGTATTGTGACAGGAATCTTAAAATCTGTAAAACACTAGAAAATAATAACATTGAAACCTGTAATATTGCAGAAGATTTTCTTTTGCCTTTCTGGCAGTCAGATCCGAATATACTATCATATACATTTTCTGAAAAAAAGGTTCAAAAAAATGTTGCATGCTGCACATAGGGGCAGACGTTAGCTACATCTCTCTCGCGTTGACACAGAATATACATTGTTTTGCATACACAAAGTTTTACAATAATAATACCACTAAAATGCTTTTGATTTTATTAATGGAAGTATGAAGAATATTTAGGAACTTTATATATATTCAAAATAGCACTTTTTCAAATATAAAATCGCAAAAATCTCGAAAGCTATAAACTTTTTAGACAGAAGTTCATTAGAATCGCTTTTCTTAAAAGTGACCCAAAAAAAATCGAAAAAAACATTTTTAGAATTTTGTTTATGGACATGAACAACTTCCCAATTCACTGAGAAAGTACCAGATTCGTAAGATATCTAGAAGAGACGCGAACATTTGCATGATTTAAATGATTCTTTATCAAATTTCAACCATCTTTATCGGTAAACTAGTGCATTTAATAATAGTAATAATAATAAGTTTGTTTCCAACAGGCAGATATTGGAGGAAATGTCATTAAATATCAATGAAGCGCAGTGAACGAGTACATACATAAGAATAACAATGTATAAGTAATTAATCAACAACAATATACTAGCTTACAACTTCATCAAGGCGAAGTTCGATGACGCGCAATATGTGAATAATAACAGAAGGCTTGGACAGGACATTGGTGTGGCTGAATGTTCGAGGGATGTCTTTTAAGTTTTGCATATAGAAACTTAGTATACCGCGCGGATCGAACGTCAGTACTGAATCTTAACCTCACTCTTTAGTAAACTTAAATTCAAAGTTTCACAACGATACGTGCAGTGTTCTCACTACAGGGAATTTTTAAGTGTCACCAAGTCATTAGAAAAATGGAACTCAACCGAGAACATTTAGGCGCCATAATTTATTACAACTTTCAGAGGTAATTATCGCAAGAAGTATGCCTTGCTGAGTTACTCTCTGTTTTCGGCAACGAAGCGCCACATCAGTCGACAATTTCCCGTTGGTATGGAGAATTTAAACGTGGTCGGGCGAGTCTTAGCGAGGATCCCAGGGTGGGTGCACCAAAAACGGCAGTCACCCAGGAAAACGTCGATGCTGTGCGCAAACTCATCATTGAAGATAGATATGTGACATATCGTGAGATCCTTGAAGATCTCAAAGACCTCAATTCAAACAATCTTACATGAAGAATTAGGAGTAAGAAAATTAGTTTCAGCCAGGGTTAATTGGTGTCAAAAAACGCTTGACCGTTTCAATTCTGGAAACTCAAAAATGTATACAGCATTGTTAGTGGTGATGAATCGTGGATTTACTGTTATGAACCAGAAAATAAACGACAGACGGCTGTTTGGGTGTTCCAAGGTGAAGAAAAGCCAACAAAAGTCATCCGTTCTCGAAGTGTTTCGAAAAAGGTGTTCGCGACATTTGTGTCAAAAGCGGGTCATATTGCAACAACTCCTCTTAATGAGCAAAGAACTGTTACTGCGGATTGGTATACCACCATTTGTTTGCCAAAAGTCATCATCGAGCTTCGAAAAATCAACCCCGAAAGTAGAATCATCCTCCAACAAGACAATGCAAGCTCGCACACAGCCTAATAAACAAGGCATTATTTAACGGAAGAAAACGTGGAATTATAGTTCCGATCTAAGTCCTAACGATTTCTTTACTTTCCCGAAAATTAAAAACAGACTGCGTGGTCAAAGGTTCCAGTCACCAGAAGAAGCAGTGACGCATTCAAAAATGCCGTTTTGGATCCGCCAGCAAACGAGTGGAAAAAGTGCTTCGATAATTGGTTCGAGCGCATACAGATGTGTATTAATCTTGGTGGAGAATACTTCGAAAGACAATAAAGTCACTTAAAACTACCTACCGTGTTGTTTTATTTCCATATGTAAAACTTAAAAGACATCCCTCGTAGCACAATAATGATTACCAAAGCGAGGAAGATGACATCCTATGACACTTAAAATATATGGACAATAAATTTATTGAAATCGAATAAGAATATTCTCCCGAGCAGATACTTAGATATTTACTGGACGATATGTATGACGGTTAGATAAACTTCGTTCTCAAATACCTGCTGGTCAGATGTCAGGAACAGTATTACATAAATCACGATTTTTTTGAAAAAATCAAAATATATGATTTTTTGGATAAAATTGTGTTTTTTTTAATTTTCATCAATTCGTACTGGTTTTTTCCCTATAAATATGGCAATAATGAACTTTGAAATAATTTAGTTTCATTATTTTTCTGAAAAAGCCGCTAAATTATTTTTCCTGAAGTATTGAAATTGACTACCTAAACACATTTTGTATTGTGTTTATTGCAGGTAAGCCAGGGTAACGTTTGTGTTCACTGTACATGTACCTGTATGTATGTATTCGTTAATAAATTGTATTTATTATTTATTCATGTAGGTAATATTATAAACTATAAACGATTTTTGTTGTTTTAAGCTGTCTTTTCTCAAGTTTAATTTATTATTTACGTTAGACTGATGATGATTAGTTATGTTTTTAAATCTACATAATGTATGTAAACTCTTAGTTTTAAATAAACTATCTTCCTTGACGAGTTACTTCAGTTATTTCATTCAGAGACTTGTTTTTGTAGCAATTTAAATTTGATTTGAATCGCGATTAAAGTTTAAAACACCGAAGCAGCCGCGCAGGCAGACGCCTAAATGCCAGGACACCGCGGCTGCCATGAGGATCCCAGAGAAATTTTGTTAGTCCGATTTTTGAACCGCCTAAGTTTAGTAGAACTCGGAAAGGCCTGTTCTTGTAGATTGGAGCGGTGATGTCGGCCAGTTCTGGATTTACGAAGTTCGACACGGTTAGAATGGGAGGCCGAAGTCGGGCGGGTCTGCCTGGCAGGCACATCGGCTAGGATGTCACGCGGAGAAAAGTACTTCTTAACCCTAAACAAATAGCCTAGCTTTCTCCCAACAGCTGTCGCTATTGACGACATGTGTTCGTGCCAGATCAAGTCCTCGGTAATCTCGACTCCGACCAGCCGAAATGAACGGCTCTTTGGCAGAACTCGGCCATCCATCGAAACCAGATGAGCGCTAGGACACTTTTTGTCCGTCAAGGTACGTTTTGGAAGAATTAAAGTGTGCAAGATTGTTGCGGCCCCAAGCAGTGATAACCTCCAGGTCTCTCGTCAGAGTCAGAAACTCGCTGCTATAAAGAGATCGGCTTGTCGCTCTGGATTCCTTAATGTAGGGTGGATGTCATGATGTGTAAGAGGAACAGTCGCAGCCAAGACCGATCCCTCAGGATCACCCGCATTGACGTTGTGGGATGAAGAGGAGAACCCGTCAATTACGACGAATCTTGCGGCCATAGGTTGGAACTTTGCATAAGAGGGCAGCGTGATATCAACAGCAATGACATGAGCATCACCATAAGACAGGATAAGTCTACTCTACAAATGCGAGACGTAAGCTAGGAGGTCCCTGTGGATCGCTGGCGACTGTCTCTCGCTAATCATGCCGTGACGAGAAGCTTTCGATTTATGCACCTTTCCATCACCTTACTTAATTGATTTAAATCATGATTTGAACCATCGCAACCCTGGTCAGGAACGTTGCTGTCCTGAGTACGTCGTTCATACTTGGTGCTGTTCAGAGGAAAGTAGATCGGTGGTACTTAATAGTCGGCCTTAATTGTCAACTCACAGCCACGGGCGCTATGTGATCTTGCCATCTTCTATCTTTACTTTTTCAAGTTCTCCTCGTTTGGATTTTTTATTTCGCATGATGTTTGTGTGTCTATTTTTCACAGTATTTTGATATCCATATTTCTTAGGTATTTCATTTTAATTTACAGGTCTTCTTATTGCACACTGGAGATGCCGCCAATGTTTCCAGAGAAAACCGTAAACACAATAGAAACACTCGTGATGTCACACTAACCTCCACAGAACAACTTGTCAACTACATCTTGCAACAAATAGAAGCTGTACTGACAACTTTATTGGAAGGACTTTGCAACTTGATTAGCCCGTTGGTAGGAATAGCCGAAACGTTCAGAAAAACAGCGATAGAAAGCCTTATAGCAGTTCTAAAAATGTTCAGTCAACTAATGACCGCTCTTCCGCAGTATTCGGTTCCGGCGAACATTTTAACTCAAGCTTTGACAGTTACCAATGGAACGATTGCTAGAGCAAACGATCTTATAAAATCGAATGGATGTGTTTTAACTACTAGTGCTATAAGTATTCTTGATACTATCATCAATACTATTATCAAATTGTTTTAATACAGATTCCGATAACTGTAGTGTGTTTTCTTTAGTAACAGCAAAGGTTGTGATTTCCACATGGGTTTACTTGGCACCCGAGTTTCAGTGGTATTAAAGATATGTGTGTCAAATATGATTAACATCAGGCAACATAGGCCCGATTTTACTTTGAAGTAACGGATTTAATTATTAATATGAAACTAAAAAAACTAAAGAAAAATTATAGGGTTTGTGTAAGATGGGCCCCTAATTCACATATGAAATCAAGAAATCCGCCATAAAACAATTGGAATAGCTACTTTTTTTCGGACACTAATGAAAAAATAGGTCAGGACGCTATCGAAAGCATTTCTCTATTATTCTAAGTTTTGAAGGCAAATGTACGGGAACATCTAAAACATTACTAATAGATACGTAGAATTATCGAGATTGGAATCGTATACAGGGTGTTCCTTAATGATATTCGAATATTTAAGGGTGTGAATCTACATGAAAAATTAATGTTAGTTTGCTTTATAAACTATGGTCCAAAAATGTTTCCTTACAAAGGGAAAAAATGGATATTAATATTTTCAAAACCGCTTCAGATATTTCACTGATATTTAGTATGTAGTGAAAATTAATAAAGTTGCATATTTTTCAATGCAAACATAATTTTTAGCTTTAACAGTGGCGTGCTTACGGGTATTGACTTCAATATTTTTTAAGAAAAAAATGGTACGCCAATGGTTTTTTACCAAATAAAAATTATTTTTGAATTCCCCGCTCAATTTAAAACAAATGATCTCTCTTGAATTGTTTTCCTTCGAAGCGCCATTTTTGAGTAAAAAGATAAAAAGCATTCTATTGTCTAAGTTGCAAAATTATTATTAATTTAATTGGAAAAATTAAACACATTAGGGGTAATGAACAACAACAACTGACAACATAAACATAACATTAAAATCAAGAAAATGATTACAAAAATTGTTGAAAATGGCCCCCTTCCCTTAGTATGCATGCTTCCGCCTTTCTTCTCATGGAATTGCGCACTCGTTGAGATATCCCTGGAGTGTTTTTTATTCTATAACAAGCTTCATCTATTCTTTACCTCTTAATTCCTCTACAGTGTTAATGGGACTTGTGTAGACAAGTGTCTTAAGATAGCCCGAAAAATCTAATCTGTTGAGGTCTCGGGACCTTGGTGGCCATTCTTGGAGCCCACCGCGGCCAGTCCAACGATTTGGATAAACAGTTTGTAAATAATTACGAACCACTACACTGAAATGCGCTGGTGCACCATCATGCATGTACTACATATTGTTTCTTATTACTAACGGAACATCATCAAGTAGCAAAGGCAACTGTTGTTGAAGAAAATTGAGTTAAGTCTGTCCGTCAAGTTATCCTGTCAATAAGAATGGGCCAATAAAGTAGTTGCCAATAATTCATACCCATACGTTAGCCGAAAATTGCTGTTGGAAATGGGTTTCGGTTACGGCATAGGGATTTTCTTCTGCCCACAAATGATTATGGTGGAAATTCTAAATGGCATTTCGAGAAAAATTAGCTTCGTCCGTGAACAGAATCATTGATTCAAATTGCGGATTTTGTGTAATTTTTTGAAGATACCTCTGACAAAAGGTCACACGCCTTGGAAAATCAATGGAAAGTAATGCCTGTACTCTTAAAATATGGTAAGGATATAACAAAAAATCCACTAAAATTCTCCAGACAATTTGATGGCAAATATTTAAGTGTCTAGCGATCTTCCTCGTACTCGTTTCAGGATGTTCTTCGACTTCGTGCAGCACTGCTTCCTCAATTTCAGGTGTTCTCACACTTAGAGGTCTACCTTGAGATGTTCCTTTTCGGACAGAACCAGTTTCAACAAGACGACGATGAATATTAGAAAAGGTTCGACTATCTGGCAAAGCACGATCGGGATATCTCTGGTGATAAATCAGTCTGGCTTGCTCACCATTACCGTCGGCAAGGCCATATGCGTAACGCATTTCCGCCATTTCTGCATTTGAATAATTCACCATTATTAACAAGATTGTAAAAACTAAATAATGGAAAAGATGTCACAGCGAACAGATTTGAATAACAGAGACTTGTCAGATGTCAAAAGCCAGTGAACATATTCCAAAGCAACTAGATATTTATTGCTAAATTGCATTCTTCAATAATTACATTAATTTTCTCGGACAATAGAGCGGTCTTTATTTTTTTACTCAAAAATGGCGCAGCGGAGGAAAACAATTCAAGAGAGATCATCTGTTTTAAATTGAACGGGGAATTCAAATATAATTTTTATTTGGCAAAAAAACATTGGCGTACCTTTTTTTTCTTAAAAAATATCAAAGTCAATACCCGTATGCACGCCACTGTTAAAGCTAAAAATTATTTATGCATTGAAAAATATGCAACTTTATTAACTTTCACTACGCACTAAATATCAGTGAAATATCTGAAGCGGTTCTGAAAATATTAATTAATTTCCATTTTTTTTTCATAAAACTTCAACACCCCATGTTTTTGTATGGAAACATTTTTGGACCATAGTTTATAAAGCAAACTAACATTAATTTTTCATGTAGATCCACACCCTTAAATATTCGCACATCATTAAGGAACACCCTGTATACTAACTCAAAAAAAAGCCTTTTTCTCCGCCGCCACTGGACCGAAACTATAATTTGCGGACAGACATACATATGTACATACCGACGGAAATGAGCGAAATATCAACATAAAATTTTATTCCGAATTTTTCGAGATTACATTACTTCTTCGCCAGCAGGCTTGAAAGTAAAAATGTGTAGCAATTTTTCCGAATTTCAAATCCACAATAATTGTAGCCTTTACCTTTTGCGCAAGACGTATATTATCGTGGAAACCATAAACGTGTAATTAAATCCTCCTGCAAATATCTGCGATGTGTGCTAAGTTATTTTCACATTTCCAAGTATAAGCCATGTCAGATTTTAGTGACTTGGAGGAAGGATCAACACTGATTAAGCCGAAATAAAACCTAGATCTGTACATATTTACATTGGTAGTCGGGGTATAACTAGCGTCAAAAATGGCATCAAGACCTCAGTTAACATCTAAAAATGGCTATGAAACAGGGTCTTGTAGTGTTTGTGGTGGTAAGTTTTTTTATATATATATATATATCTAAAGTGGACGCATATATCTATATGCTGGAAATTTTAAAAATGATGTACTACTTTGAAAATTAGTAGAATTAGTGAAGTTCAACTTTGGAAATTGTATGATTGTAGTGTATTAAGGAATTAATCCCATTCTCCATGGGCGCTCATTAAGGTGGAAGGAGGGGGCAAAGGTCCCGCTTAAGTAAAATATATCTAATAAAGTACCCGTTTTTGGAGTAACGAGTGGCGTGTTTTTTTTTGTTATCAAAACATCCGCGCAATTTACCTTCCTAGATCTGAATTAAGACATGTACATTTTTAAATAATACAAACAATTCGTCTGCAGTTACTGAAAAGACTGAAGCATGAATTGTACTATCACGACGAATCTAAGGACACCTAAAATGTCCAAATCCATCAAGCTGCTTGAACTGTAGTCCGTGAAATAGAAAGTTGAAGCTTGCGTTTAACATCCGCCATTTTCATTTTATTAAATTTTAGTATACACAGTGTTACTCGCAATTTTTTACTAAAATATGGTTTTGTAAAATTTTAATATACCAAGTGCCACTCACACTGTCTGGACAAATCTAGATATACCTCATATATTATAACAAAATCCATTAAGCTTCTTAAGCTGCAGCCTACAGATTAAGAATTTCAGAATTGAAATTTTCGATAAAAATCGGTCATTTAGATATTATAAAATTTTAATACACCCAGTGCTACTCGCGCTGTCAAGACAACTATAGGGTCACCTCATGTTAAAATCCATTAATCCATTCAAGCTGTAGCACATGGAATAAGAACTTCAAAGTTGAAATTTTCGATTCAAATCCGCCATTTTGATTTTATAAAACTTTAGTACACCCATTATCACGCACGCTGTGAAGACAAATCAATCTAGAGACATCTCACATATCAAAAACGAACTGTTTAAGCTGTAGCCTGTGAAATAGGAATTCAAGTTTTTTTTTTAAATAACCCAGTTTTCAATCGCCAGCAGAGATTTATAACTGGTAATAGACATTTTTACCTCATTTTCATGGAACTTTTTGGTTATTTTTGGATGAGCACTCTGCTCTAAAAATATTGGTGTATTCTTTTTTAATCACCCTGTATACCCTTTGTTTAGATATTACCTGGTATCTACCTGTCATATGTTAGAATAATCAATTTATGTCCTGGGATTATACAATCACTCTACCTCTCTACATAAGAAGCAATAGCAAAGAATCTGTACAATCCCTATGGATTGAAATTATATACCCAAGATTGTTCTCAGTACAGAGAAAAATAAAATTCAAGCTTCAAAGCCTATTCAATAAAGAGACGAGTTCATTTGTAGCATTTAGAGCCCCATTTTGGTTAAGTCAGTAAGACTTGAATATTTGCAGTTTTTTTATAAAAACTAAAACATATTCGACCATGCTGGTACCCTCAATATTCGCTAAGGGTGAATAGCATCAACTAGATCACACCATAGTTTGTTACCACACCAAGTGGTCAATATGAGGGAATCATTGGTTTCATGAGATTTCCAGATGAATATTTTAGAAACTAAAAAGCAGATATGCATAAAATTTCATAAAAGCATTTTAAAAGCATTTTAATACTCAAGTTTTGTATAGTCTATTTTTTGTAACCTCTTTAACTATCTTCTAACATAAAGTGATAAAATCAAATAATATGAAAAAAAAATAATTCTATAGAAACTATCTTTCAAAAATGGGATGTTGAATTTTTTTCCAAAAGTTCATGTTTTGAATGGAAATAAATATTAATATTAACGTTTGTTCCACAGGTTGCCATAATACATATTGGAAATGCCTCCACCTTGGCTAACAGACAGATGGTGAGCCAAGATGCTGTCCAAACAGACAAAGACCCACTTGTCAAATATATTTCAGAACAGCTGATTACAGGAGTTACATCACTCTTAAAAGGTGTCTGCCCCATAATTGCTCCTTTGGTGCAAGCAGTTGAAACATTCAGAGTGACAATGTTGAATAATCTTATAATAACTCTGAACGCTATGAGTCCACTACTCAGAGGAATTCCGCAGTACTCATCATCATTAGATTTAGTATCACATGCTCTCAAATTGACAAACCAAACAATTGTCTTTACTGGTAACCTCTTAAAAACACATGGCTGCTCCACTAATATTGTCCAAATATAGAATTTTGAAAAGACAATTACAGAAATGGTTCTCTGATCAGACTTTATTAGACCAGTATAAGCAATAGAACAGATTGTTGCATTGTTTGTTAATATATTAATATATATGTATTAAATATAGTTCTACTTACCTGATAAATTTATATTAAATTCTCGAAAGCATAATTGTGAATATAACAACAGGATTTTTATACTTGTATTCAACACTTCACTATATCAAAATTAATGTACATATTTATCAACAATCCAAAAAGAACTTCAGCATAAAACCTTTGGCCAATTTATAAGTAAGAACTCATTAAACTTATATTTGTTGGTATTTGTTACTTCGTATTGTATAGTATCAATGATAGGTTCCAAGTAAATGGAACTAATTTGCAAACATATGTACCTGTAAAATTTCTCAATGTCTGTGATCCATACATTAATAAAAATATTCTATTGTAATCTCTATTACCAATTTCCTACCAAAATAACAGTAAATTATCACAATCATTACACAGTGAAGCACATGGTAAGCCTGAATGGACACTACCCTTCCAATTGGTGTGTAATTTTTGTAAAATAAGGGTTAGATACACTATTTATACTCCATATGATGCTCCAGCTATGTAATACTCCTGGCAACATCCTATCCTATATGAGGGATGTCTTTTAAGTTTTGCATATGGAAATAAAACAACGCGGTAGGTAGTTTTAAATGACTTTATTGTTTTTCGAAGTACTCTCCACGAAGATTAATACACATCTGCATGCACTCGAACCAATTTTCGAAGCACCTAAGTATTAGACTCGTTTGCTGGCAGATACAAAACGGCATTTTTGAATGCGTCAACTGCTTCTCCTGGTGACTGGAACCTTTGACCACGCAGTGTTTTTAATTTTCGGGAAAGTAAAGAAATCGTTAGAACTTAAATCGGGACTATATGGAGGATGGTCCAATAATTCCACGTTTACTTCCGTTAAATACTGCCATGTTTTTTGGGCCGTGTGCGAGCTTGCATTGTCTTGGTGGAGGATGATTCTTCTTTCTGGGTTGATTTTTCGAAGCTCGGTGATGACTTTTGGCAAACAAATGGTGGTATGCCAATCCGCAGTAACAGTTCTTTGCTCATTAAGAGGAATTGTTCCAATATGACTCGCTTTTGACACAAATGTCGCGACCATCTTTTTCGAAACACTTCGAGAACGGATAACTTTTGTTGGCTTTTCTTCACCTTGGAACACCCAAACAGCCGACTGTCGTTTATTTTCTGGTTCATAACAGTAAATCCACGATTTTCTTACTCCTAATTCTTCAAGATTGTTTGAATTGAGGTCTTTGAGATCTTCAAGGACGCCTCAATCTCGCGATATGTCACATGTCTATCTTCAATGATGAGTTTGCGCACAGCATCGACGTTTTCCTGGATAACTGCCGTTTTTGGTGCACCCACCCTGGGATCGTCGCTAAGACTCGCTCGACCACTTTTGAATTCTCCATACCAATGGGAAATTGTCGACTAATGTGGCGCTTCGTTGCCGAAAACAGAGAGTAACTCAGCAAGGCATTCTTGTTGCGATAATTGCCTCTGAAAGTTGTAATAAATTATGGCGCGAAAATATTCTCGGTTGAGTTCCATTTTTCTAATGACTTGGTGTCACTTAAAAATTCACTGTAGTGAGAACACTGCACATATTGTTGTGAAACTTTGAATTTAAGTTTACTAAAGAGTGAGGTTGAGATTCAGTACTGATGTTCGATCCGCACCGCCTACTATGTGTCTATATGCAAAACTTAAAAGACATCCCTCATACTATGGTATACAATCTAAACTCTAATATGTACAAATAACAAAAAGAGTGTGGGTGAATACATAGTATTATTTGAAGATTACAATGCTAAGGTAAGTCATAGCTGATTCATACTTCCCCAGTTTCTTGCCATACCTTTTGTCAAATATTTCTGAAGGTTTAACCAAAACTAATATGATAGCTAATAGGAAAAGTCATTTTTGTGTATAATGCCTCCTGAAAGATGTTCTGCCAATTAACAAGCGCAACACAATTTTTCATTTAGAACTGGCCTATTATTACTTCATGAACATGGCAGATATTTAGCAAACTCAAAAACAGAATAAAGATAAAGTTTAGCAATGCAGGAGCAATTAATTAAAGTATGATAAAGTAAAATTAACTATTAGAATACTTCAGCTTCCTACAATTTCCCCAACATAAAAACTTGGTGCTTCTGATTGAAAATCCTTCATGCATAACATGAAAAAACTCTATGAAGTTGTAGTATACCTAGTTGGGTTACCTCTCTATACCTGGCAATCACCATTATTTATTCTATAATATTAATTTTGATCTGTAATTTATTAGCTATTTTATCATAGTGCAGGCACAGTACTTATTTCCAGATTGAAATCAAGTGATTCTAAAACTCAAAAGTATGAATGTTGGCGACTTTGAAACTTAAAGTAAATATTTTTAATCTACACTTACCTCTTGTGCAGTTAATTTAGTAAACCCTGCCTTGATTTCGTTGGGCCATTGGTAATCTGTGGAGTATGCTCTTCTACAGTCACAATATAACCTAACAAATCTGTCTGTGGCGATTCCATTCTGGATGGCGGATTTCACATAGTTTTTGTACTTAAAACCTGCTGTACTGTACATAGAAACGCAGGTGGTGAATGAAGCAGATACGTTTTTGCCATTTTTCAATAGCTGCTGGGCTCTACAGCCCACAACCATTTTATAAGATTTCGTTCACTGTACCGCCACTATTTCAAGATACGCAATACACTGTTATGTGAAAAACAATTAATTAAGTAATCGACTTTCTTACAATGAATCTTTCTTCCTACATTTTCATTAAACAATTCTATTTTTGGACAAATTTGACATTCAATTATCGTATTTTCGTAGCTTGGTGCTATAGCTATTAGGAATTTTTTAAAAATGCCCCGCACCGCACTCGTCTGTCAAATGATTGTCAAGGTCAAGGCAAGGCGCGACAAGGCTGACAGATGACAAAAACAGGGTTGTCGGATTGATAATCTACCATGATACCCTACGACTTGCTTTTGTAACAAATTACCTCACAAGTATTTCAATTCGACGTCCAGAATATCTTAATAGATGAACCTGGACGACAGACCAAATCGAGTAATGTTTTTCTACTAAGCTATTGTAACTATTTGACGCTAAGAATTACGTATGTTTTTTTATTTAGCGTTCAAAAGTAGATGGGATCCAGCGTTTCATGGGAATTTCGGCAGTTCCAGATGTGCATTAATACAGAGGATGGTACACATCCAAGGCATCTACATGGGACGAATTTATTATTACCGTGATGGTTGGTGATTTCTCACTAGATGCACATAAGTATGCGTATGACAGCCATCCCCTTTCCTATAGTTTTGCATCAATCTTGGGGAGGTCAATTCTTGAAATAAGAAGTAGAATAACTAAGAGAACAAGTGTGAATCTCTTATCTTTGGGAAACTGTTTAATGGAATAATGGTGAGACGACGTACTTCTAGTTGATCGTTTGTTGAGTACTCGTTACAACCAACGATACAACTATTTGTAATCGGTATATGACAGCCAGAATAACAGTGAATGTTAGAAAATATAAATACAACTGTCCAGCGCCCTAGGGTTATCATCCTAATAGCATTTTAATGTTCATGTTCCAAAAAAGGGGTGGTCTATCTTGGGTCCATTACTTTTTTCAGTATACTTTGCAAATATTACTAGTAGTTTCATTTATATGCTGATGAGACCCAGATAAAATTTTCGTTCTCTCATACAGATACAACAACTGCGGTTATATTATTAAATGAAGATCTTAATGATTTGACAAATGAAAGCATAGCACATTAGTTATCCGTAAATCCAACTAAGTCAAATGTTTTATTGTTCGGGAAACACAAAAAGAGCGTGACAGATTCATTCCATATTTCAATTAATAATAATGTTATTCCTCATACATACGCTATTAGGAAGTTAGGCTTGATTATGGATAGTGACCTGAGGTTTTCAAAGCATGTTGATAAGTGCATTGGCCGTGCTTATGGTCGGCTTAAAATTTTATTTCCACATCATCATATCTTTTCTACCGAACTTAAGGCTTTGCTTTGTGACACGCTTGTTCTGTCATTCAATTACTGCGACTCAGTTTATGGGCCTTGTATAACAAGGTATGATGTTGATCGTATACAGCGTGTCCAAAACTCTTGCCTTAGGTTTACTATTGGAGTGAAAAAAATTGAACATATTTCTTATAAGTTACCTGTAATAGGATGGCTAAATATGCAAGCAGGACAAATCTGCACTCTGCAGCTTTGTTTCATAAAATTATTCTATATAAAACTCCGCCTTATTTATATAATAATATTACATTTCGAAGTGATGTTCACAATATCAATGTTCGGAAGCTGATTTCCCAACTACGTCATCGTACATCTATGTTTAACAGATGTTTTTCTCATTTCATCTACCACTTGTATAATCACGTCCCCACTAATCTTAAGTCTATGTCTGTGTCAGCTTTTAAAAGAAGTTACAGAAAATTTCTATTAGATGAATTGTGGTGTTTACTTTATATTGTTCCTTTCCTTTTTATATTTTAAATCTATTAATTATTAATATTAGCTTATATAATTTGGTTAAGAACTCCTCTGTTGTAATTTTGTTTGTTGGGCTAGTACTTCAATCAGCTCGTCTGTTTACTAGTCCCTTTTGCAGGGAATTCATGTTGTTTCTTCATTTTAAATTTTTTCTCTTTGTATTTTTTTTGCTCTGCAAATAAACGCTATTATTATTATTACTTATAGTACATAAAGTTTGAACTTGTAAAGGTAATTGTTCTGAGAAAGTTAAATACTTAGATATAAAAAATATTAATCTGGAAAGACCGTGAATACATTAAGATTATGAACTGGCTATATTGGTAATTGACAATAAGGATACTGAAATATCAGAAATACATTATGCACGGTAAATCGAGGTAACATAGTAAATGAGAAGGTCCACATTACAATTGTATCCCTGAACGGTAATAGAACAGCTGCTCCCCGACACATTCTCGGAAGAAAAAGTGTCGCGGTCGTCCGTCGCTATCGTATCTAAAGACAAAGTTAACTGTATGATCGAGCGCTTCAAGATATGAATAACCCAAAAACCTATTGCTTTGTAGAAAGTGAAGATGCATCCACAAACTTGTTTGGCAAGTGTCAACACCTATCAGAATATTTAAAAGCTTTCCTTAAGAAAGGAAAGCACGCCCATTTTCTATAAGTAATTTTACCCTCTTCCTTCCAAGAACAGAGAGGTCTGGATCGGTCAGTTACTCATTATTCCCAAAATAAACCCCAACAATAATGTTTATGATTTATAAGTGTAGTGTTCCCTGTCAGGTATAACGTTCGGCAGGTAACCCTAATCCCGCAGTTGGGGCTACAAAACAACTTAAAGTTCAAAAGCGTCTGCAGTTGCTCTAGTGCTATCGTGAATAAAGCAGGCAGTAGGTTTTTACAACTCGGCTAGCTCAAAGGCGTTTTCTTGAGGTTGAATATGTAAGTACTTTTTCATTTGACACTACTCTATCCATAAGGACTATTCAGTCGCATGGTAAATACTTTCGAGATATCCTAAAACGAGCAACTTCCAATGTGGATGCATCGTATTTTGGACACCTTGCATATATCCAAACATGAAATTGACGACATTTTCCCTTTATCTATTTTAGGACATTAACCATAAAATAGCTGCAGTTGTAATTCTTAATAATAAAGATAATCAGCAGTAGATCTTTACACCATTATTATCCAGGCTTACTTTTCACTCACAAAATATTAATTAAATGTCGTCAACCCAAATCAAAAACGTTTATATAGCAAACTAGCTTTCATGAGGCGTTTTTTTTGTTATTTAGGGGCGTTGTATTGAGTTCTCAGAGGTTCTATAATGGGTCTGCTCTATTTGTAGACCAAAAAACCCTCAGAAGCATTAGAAGAAGATCCTTGGCACGTCCCCGTTTCACTCTTCTTGTCCACCAGCAATAGATCTCATACAACCAGAAAACTGCGCCAATCTGGCAATGCTATTCCTGCTGTCATGTCAATTATGGCATTTGAGTGATGTTTGACATTGACATAACCAATATTTTGAACTAATTTTTTCCTCCTTTGAGAGTGGATTATGGAAATCCGTCTTGCATATTGAGGAATTTATTTTTATCGGTATGTAGCGTGTTACCACTTTGTATAACATTTCTTGTCTGAAATAAAATTGTTTAGGAGACGTAGAAGTAGTTTTCCTACTAATTTGAATCTCTGGAACATCAAACTTGTTTTGTACCAAATTCCACTTTCAAAGAGAGTACTCTAGTGTTTTGCTTGTTTTTGGTACAAAAACAAAGAAAACATTATATATGTTGCATTTTGCTGACGTAACTTGCTAATTTAACGGTTCATGTCAAAATTTGTATACCTGCCAAAAATGTAGTACCTTGCTCCCATTTGAACCATTTTCCCTACATTTTTACAACATGAATTATTTAAAATTCCATCAAATTCCTAGCACACCATGTACCATCAAGGCAGAGTCAGAAGGAGGGGAGGATGGCATCAGTCAAGAAACATGAGATCAGAACATACACCACCAACCAGTATACAACAAAAATCAGAAAATGATATGCTTTTGCAAGCAAATGAAAACATATCAGCAGAATGGCATGATCCTAGATGTTGTGAGGCAATTAGTGTCAAACTTCCATTGGATGAAGATAGCCTTTTTTTCTTTGCAGAGTTGAAGAGGTTGTGGATTATGTGTAAGTTTTTCATACAGCTTTTTCTACCTCTAGCCACTAGCCTTTTGCTAAGCTGGATTAGATTATTGACCTTTAGGCCACTCTTGAAAATAAAATAGTTGAATGGCCATATGATATGGGCTGTGACCAAGAATACATTGAGAAGAAGCAGAATCTACCTCTATACTAATATATCAAAAACTCAAAAATTTATGTATACTTGTTTTATCATGGTTTAACTATTCTTTTTGTTACTACTAACCTACCACCATTATTTATTTATAGTTTAATAGTTGCCTGTTTTAAAAATTTAACTTGCACTGCTTCAATGAAGTTATTAAATTTGCTGACCATACCACTGTGTGGTGCTCCAAAACTTAAACTCACCAAAGAGTCGAATACAATTGGAATAGCGTCTTCAGAGAGGTGTTTGGGAGATCTAAAAATATATCCCAATGTTTTATATGATTTAAAATTAATTTATTCAATGTGTGTCTTAAATGTCAATTTTCTATCAAAAGTTATATCTAAATCCCTATCTGTATCAGCTCTCATGAGGTCATGATTTTCAACTTTACATTCATACATGAGATATTTGAACTACAGCTGAAGCTTATCTGGTAGCATTCATTCAAATTGTTAAATCAAATAACTGCTATTTGATATAGAGTCTGCAACATTCTTAACAAATAAATTAAATAAAACTGGACCATTGTGGGAGCCTTAGGCTAGACCTGAAGAGATATAGATGGGATTAGATAATGATCCAGTGTATCTGACACACTGTGTTTGTTCTGACAGGCAGCTTCTAAACCAGGATAGTTGACTGCTTGATACCAAATTTTCTATTTTAGCCAAAAATAGATCATGACTTACTCTGTTGGAAGCTTTTGTATAATCCACCTAGATAGAGTCAACTTGATAGTTGTTTTCAGAAGCACTGATTATGAAGTTCACATAAATGATTAGCAGTTGGCCTTCCTGTGGTGAAGCCATGCTGTTGGTCATTAGTAATTAATTTCTGCAATCCTCCAGTGAAAAGTAACTTTTCTCTCCCTAAGTAAACAATAGTAATAGAAAACTAAATAGATAAATAATGAATGACATCTGAACTTTCGTTTTGAAATTATTATAAACAATTGAAAAACAAAATGCTGAGTATAGCTCATGTAGCTATCCTTTTTTTATATCAAAGCATACTTGAATAACTCCATTTGTCAGACTGACAACAGGCAACTAGATATTTCAAAGTGTTTCTGAAAACATTATAATTGTGATCTAGAATTGAATATTTTGTGATATATACAGTATTTGGGTTTTCAGCATCAACTAAAAAAGTAGCTTATTTTGCTTTCATATTCATTATGTCACAAGACTATATGATATGCGATACATATTTGACAAAGTCGTGTAATATTTTGATTTTGACAGCTTTTATGGGTACCATGGGAAAATTGCTGGCCAGGGGGGTGACATTTGAATGATGAAAAACATACTTTGAATGTGATAAAAGTAATAAATATTATAAGCTAAATAAATCCAATACTTCTTCATTAAAATAACAAGATTTAATTGCCATTGGTATTAAAGCAAGAAAATTATAATTATTGAGAGCTCACAGACCCTCAGGGTAATGGTGGTGTTTGGAAGATATTTTTTTAAAAACTGGGTCACTGTTGCTTTCATTGTTTACAACAATTTTTGTTGCAAAGAAATGACAAAAAAATATAGTAGAAAAAGAAGTGACACCAGGGTAGTGACAAATATGCACATAATCGTGAAAAAAATTAAGACATACTAGTTATTATATTATTGCATGTGATTCATTACTTTTGTATTCAAGAATCGTTTTTTAGTAGTTGCACAGATGTACCATTGGAATTCATAAAGATATATGTACCAGGGAAATACTGTAATCACTGGAAAAGGGGTATCTGCTGAAACTATGTGGGCAACTAGTGCCTTACTGGTTTTGTTAAGCCAAGCTGCGCTAGTTTAAAACTATCATCTCTTGGTTTGCTATAGATTGATCAAGGTCATATCACAAAATTGTAACATTTACATGAAAATATACAATTTAAATTGCCATGGGTGTGAGAAGCAAGGAACCACTAAAAATGTTTTTTTACATTTATACAAATTTTTGGTGCCTTTCTTCATGAAAATATGTTATAATGTGTGCCTAGAAATAAAAAAAGTAGTTATTTAGGTTACATATACAGAGATTTTGGTATTAGTAGTGAAAGTTAGGAATGGAGCAGGCCTGGGGGTATATATTTTGTTAATTTTCAATCATATTATGGTCCCCAAATCTTAATGGTCACCTTAATTTCAATTAGTTTTGCAACCAGAGACCTCATATGTTTTAAACAAAGCCTGATACTTTACACTGTTTAGATTTTCACAATCTTTCAATTTACTTAGGAACTTTTTGGTGGAACATTGAAATCCCAAATACTGTATATTCACACATATACAGGATTAGTAGCAAAAAATACATACCTCATTTGAGAAAGTCATTATTGGTTTTGCACGCTAGCCCCCCCTTGTTTAAACAATGATGCCGCTTTTCTTAAAATATGTATGTAATATACAAAGGGTACTATAAAAGTTTTGCAATATAGTTTTATTTATTGATTTCGTTCAAAGTAATTTCCACCACATTCAATACAAGTCGTACGACGAGTCTTCTGCTCTTCCGTCAGAATATGAGGTACCCAGAGAGAACAAAGTTTCCTTTCGTGTAAATGGTCGTGCAGAATTGAATGAATTTCTGATGCATGAAGGTGTAAGGTATCCTCTATGTGTTGGTATGTCACTCTCCAGTCTTCATCAAGCATTTACCTCACAGCAGTAATGTTTTCCTCTGTTACTGACGTTCGCAGACTTCCTTCCCTCTCAGCGTCCTCCAGAGTGAAATTGCTCCATTGGAATTCTCTGTAATACCTGAATATAGTCGTACGATGAGGTCAATCATTCTTTAATGCAAGCGTCATTCCTTCTAAGTACTGGTCTACGCTTAAACCACGCGTAACGTTATACCGTAAAACTACCCTTATCTCACTACGTGACCACGATGCATTTTAGACTGTCAATACGAATGAACAACTAATCAACAGACGTGCTGCAGGCGGCTACTACGCACTGACGGACATGTCTCAACATGCAGCCTCCTGCGTCCGTTTGTTAAGTCATATTGCAAAAGTTTTATAGTACCCTTTGTACTATTTTATTTTCAAAAAAATGATATGTGCAATTTCCATATTTTTCAGTGAAAAAAAGTCCACCAGTAATTAGCAAACTTCACAACTACTATGCTGCTTCACCCAACCCTTATGTGGATGCTCTATGCCTGTTATATAATTGCCAGGACTTCCATAATGCTAAACCTAAGACATTACCCATGTTCATCATTGAAGAGTTCAAATCGTGGAGTACAATTAATAACAATAGGATTAGTCATTTGCTCACTATTGAGCTGAAAATCGATGTGTTCAAGATATTGCTGAGACAGGGGAGTCCAGCTCTCACAAAACTGATGGTTGATGTTTATAGGCTGGTCGAAGAGCAGGATGTGTTTTTTAATTTTATTAGGTGTGTGAATGCAAGGAAAAAGTACAAAGAGGTAAGAACTGCTTCGAAGCAAGAACATTTTTGATTTTTTTTATACTCCCACTACCACGAAGACCCATTGGGTGCCGTGGGGCTATAGGGGGATACCAGGGAAAGGGGGGTGATTTCTAATTTGCTGTATTATTTCAGGCTTGCCAATATGCCATGTTATTTGGTGTGCAAGATAGGTTTTCTGTTGAGGAGTTTTTGATACCCCTGGTGCTACAAGATAAGCTGTTTATGGTAGATGATTTTTTACGTTGTAGTCCTAGACACCAGGCCGAACTTGTGATATGGTTGGATGAAATGCTGGGTAATAATTCTATAAGAGATGCAGCAGCAGACTATGCAATGTGAGTAAACTCACGATTGTTTGTGAACTACATGTTACAGTAGTAGTAGTAGTAGTTTGGAAACAGATATTAACATTATTATGACCTATTTCATATGCCTAAATTAAAATTGTGAAGGAACAGATAATATAAATATTAAAGTCTACCTTTGGGTTCCATACTAATACAAGGTTTATCTTATCAACATTCAAATTCTCTGAAAATAAAAACACTCGTTTTTTTAAATACCACAGTTTCTGAAACGACAAAAGTATGGAAACATTTCACTTTTGCCTTATTTATTGGTTCTGCGATAATGTGATACTGCGTGCGTTAATTATTAACATCAGTGAGAATGGCAAAAGTAAAGGCATTTTCAAAAGATTTAAGAGACAAAGTAATTGAATTATTTAGTAGTGGTGTTAGAAATGTTGACATTTCTCAAAGATTAAAAATGAACAAAGGGACGATTTCGAAAATTATTAGAAAATATCAATAATACGGATCAACTGCAACGCGGCCCAGGTGCGGAATACAAAAAAAAACCGATTATGTTTTGGATCGCTACATTAAACGTTTTTCCCATGAAGATCCTCGAATGCTAGCCACACAGATTTTCAAAAGCATAGGGTGACGAAAATCTTTCTGTCAGAACAGTGCAGAGACGCTTGCTGGATTTTGGGCTTTTTGGTAGGCGTCCAGTGCAAAAGCCTCTGATTTAAAAAAAAATCGTATTGTTCGGCTTGAATTTGCTAAAACTCATCGAACAATGGAATAGAGTTCTATGGAGCAATGAAAGCAAATGTAACTTGCTTGGATCTGACGGTACGGCATATGTGAGACATCCAATACGAAAAAGATTCGACAAAAAGTATCAGTTGTTGCACGCGGGCCTCCTCTATAAACTAATCCAAAAGGGTTTTCCTTTCTGGCTTCTAAAATTACTGAAATCCTTTCTTGAAGGAAGGAAGTTTCGGATCAAAATTAACAATGTTTTGTCAACAACACGGCCAGTACGGGCCGGTGCTCCTCAGGGTTGGGTCCTAGGACCAATTATTTATTCGCTTTTCATCCATGATGTCCCTTGCCCCAGCAACTGTGAAGTCTACCTCTATGCTGACGACACTGCACTTGTCGCCCAGTCGTATACTGGTGATCTGGTTCACGATGGGTTGCAGAATGCGGTGGACGAAGTTCTAGAGTGGGCGGAACGGTGGCTGATAAAAATTAATCATTCGAAAACGCAGGCTATTGTACCAAAAAACGTCGCGGCCCCCCAGCAGAGATTTCTGTAGACGGAAACCGTGTACCATGGACAAATTCTGCCAAGTATCTCGGTGATAAAGGCATGACCTGGCAGAAACATACACCATCCATAAAAACAAAATTCCAAATTGCGTTTCGGCAACTATATCCTTTGTTATGTAGATCCTCCAAATTAAGTTTGATAAACAAAGTTCGACTATATAAAATGATTATTAGACCAGCCATTACTTATGCATGTGCGGCTTGGTGTTTTCTTGCCAAGACACACATGCAAAGTCTTCAAGTACTGCAAAGCAGAACTTTGCGGACAATTTGCAACGCTCCATGGTATGTCTCAAATGAGACACTAGACAGAGACCTTCACATTCCACACTTGAGCGATTATGTCAAGCTTCAGGCGCAGCGACGTAGTCAAGCGGAATCGCACAGCAACCCTCTGTTGCGTGACTCAGTGGACTACACAGTGGAGCAAGTTCGTAAACATTCAAGGCCACGGCTCGCACTGTAATCAAAAGTTAGCGCGAATTTTTAGTAAACTCAAAATTATACTCAAACAAAACCGAATCATAAATTTGTTTAGTTCACCTCAAAATTAATCCGTGTACCAACTCAAAAAGCCTAGGTGTTTCCTCTTAAACTAAGCACATCTGTTTCTGGGCAACTAGGACTGACAGATAATATGACTAACGTACATTAGACAGTGACTAATGAGCAAAGGTCCTACGGACCGCCCAGACAAACAAATGACGAATAGTTAGTATCAGTTGTCAAAAGTTAAGCACAGTGAAGGCAAAATGGTTTGAGGCTGTTTTTCTAGTTCTGGAACAGGTCCAATTGTTAAAATTGTTGGGAAAATGGATCAAAAAGCTTACAAAGATATTTTTAGTCAGCACATGCCTGCTGAAGAAGAAATGCCTTTACGATGGACATTCCAGCAAGACAATGACCCCACAGATATCTCAAAATTCGTAAACGACTGGTTAAGGCTGAAAAATGTTAATGCTCTTACATGGCATTCGGAATCCCCGGACCAAAACCCTATAGAATATGGGAGCATGTTAAAAGACAGCTGACAAGAAACACTTTAAAAAATAGTAATGATTTATTTGAGGATGTAAAAAATATTTGGCAAAATATCCGAACAGATGGCTGTAAAAAATTGGTGTCTTCTACGAGCAGCAGATGACTTTTGTAGAGTTATTGTATTTAATTTTGTAATAAAAAAAATGTTTCCATACTTTGTCGTCTCATTGTTGGTCATAAAATAATATGAGGTATTTTAATGCTACTACCACAAAAAACACAAATTGTCATTTGTGACCTCAAGACTGTAAGCAAACTGTATGAGAAAAAAAATAGCCCTTAATAAAAAAGAATAAAGATTAGCGAACTTTTAAAAAATTACTAACAATGTTTCCGAACTGTATATTTTGATTAGGATCCAGCAAACATTTATTCAAGAGTTAGACAATAACTTGTTTTGAGCTTAAATACGGATTGTTTAGTTATTCTTACTCAAATTTCAGAAAACATGGCATTCCGGAAGTGAAGTATGATAAAATGCATTCTAAGCCATGGAAAAAGATGATAGCAAGGCTGTTGAAAATGTTCAAATTGTCTTTTGATCTGACCCCAAATTTGAATAAAAAAAGAAATGAAGGTGCTCTAAACTTCCTGTTGCATAAAAGATTTGTGGAAAATAGCTTTGGTGAGAAACATCTTGAATATTGGAAAATATCGAGTCTACAAGCTTACTATTTTTACTTTTGGATAACATACATTCTTATGATTATCATTTTTCATCTTAATTTAATACTTCCTTTTACTTCCCACGCCTACTCGCGAGGAAGTTTTGTAATTCCGAGAAATTTCGAAAATAAGATATGTTATGATATGCATGTATGAGCCATTGAAAGCCAGGATGGTCCAAGTCTAAATTTTCAGATATCGAGGTTCTATGTGTATACTGTTCTGGATGGATGAATCTTTGTCTGGGACAGTTTTGAAAAATGTATCTTTTCGTTTTGCACACAGATGGCACCAGTCTGTTTTTATATGTCAATGGAAAGCTGTAACCGTTATGAGGCAGAATGGGACAAGTGTGACTTAACCCACTCTGGTTTTCAATAGTACTGTCAAAAAATAGCATCAAGTACCTGCCAGAAAATTGGTATACAACAATAAGAACATGCAGACCCAGGAAACCCTTTTACGTCTGTGAGATGGAACAGTCTGATTTTTTCTCATCAACAACAGAGAAAGCTGTAACAAGACGAAAGAAAAATGGTACTAATGCCACTGTATCATGGCTCCAGATCCAGTGGCTACACTTTGAGAAAAAAGAACCTTACAAAATTTTTTATAAAGAAACTTTGAATGAAGAATTTCCATATGATTTTATAAATTTACTACCAAATCGAAAAGGCGCACCCAAAAACTTCAAAAATATAAACCTACCTCCTTTGTATGAATCCCCTCTTCCTGTCAACGACAAAAAGAAGAAAAACATGGAAGAGGTTCTCCAATTCATACCACCAGTTCATCACAGTTTTTTCAAGAATCTGAAGCAGATGCAACTTTGCCAGATACCGGACCACTGCTTGTTACTGAAGAAGAAGGAGAAGGCAAACAGACTCGACAATTTCCAGAAATTCCATAAGGTCGTGTCAGTACAGTACAGTTTTTGTGTAGAAAATATACATTATTTTTTTACTGTATGGAGGTTGATTTCTGTCGTTTTGTAATAAAATTATCAATTCACATAATGTTGTGTAACTCTACTTTACTATAATCGTTATACAAGTATGAAACCAAAGGTAAGAACCGTTTTATGGCAGAGTGGGCTTAAACATATGAAAAAAAACACATGAACACAAAATGTTCATGTATTTTATGATAAGATACTTAAATTGATTCTACCTTTAAGGGTATGTTGATTTCTTACTGCAGTTTTATTATTCTACATTTATCAGCCCCATCTAAATTTTAAAGCCTTAAATCTCGGAAACGTCTTTTTGTGACTTGGACCATCCTGGCTTTCAATGGCTCATATATGCATGTTATATGACATGTACATCACGAAAAAAATAATGTCACGTTGCTGTCGCGTTGTGCCGCCATTTATTCGGGAGAGGCGACGTTGCCAGATGCACCACCGGTAGGGCCTAACTGTTTTACTTGATCTGTCAAATTTTTCTGTAATAAAGGGTGTTTCAATAAGGACGCAATATTTCAAGGTTCTATAAAACATGTAACAAGCAACTGAAATATTTATTGGATTGTGGTGTAGACACTTCGGATAACCACAAAGCCAAAAGTCCAAAGGTGTTAAATCGCAAGAGCGTGGCGGTCAATTCTGGTCACCAAACCGGGAGATGACTCGACCAGGAGCAAACTCGTGCAAAACTGCCAATGTTTCATGAGCAGTATGGCATGTGACCCCATCCTGCTGAAACTATACGTCATTAAGAGCCATGGCTTCTAATTGTGGCACACAAAAATGAGCAATCATTGCACGATAACGTTCGCCATTCACTGTTAGTGGATTACCTGCCTCGCCCTCAAAGTAAAACCGTCCAATAATTCCTCCAGACCATAGTGCACACTAAACAGTGACACATTTTGGATGCATAGCTTTCTCATGAAATACTCTTGCACTCTCTGTGTCCCCAATCGAGATGAAAATGGGCCTGATCGCAATAAATGATTTTATCCGCAAAATCAGCATTCACATCCTGATGGCCAAGAGTCCAATTGTTGAACTCTCTTCGCTGCGCATAATCAGTTGACATGGGCTGTTGAGTCAGTTGGACTTTGTCTGCATGCAGGTGTAAATCTTTCGTTAGAATACGTTGGAAAGTGGCTGTTTTAATGTCCAATTCTTGAGCGCGATGACGAATCGACGTCCCTGGACTGTCGGCTACACTTTCGCGAAGTGCTCTGACATTTTCTTCTGAACGACCGCACTGAGCTCGTCTCGTATGTTTCACATCATTAACTGAACCAGTACTTTCAAATTTTTGGATTATTCTTTTAACAGTGGATGGGGTAGGAACATTATTCCGACCAAATATTAGCTGCACTTTTCGAATCGTGGCAATTAAACTTTCACCACTTTGGTAATAATTTCTTGCAATGAGGATGCGCTTGCTCTTCGTTCTCATCATCAACTCCCGCCTGCCTAATATCGATCTATCACGTCACAATCATTATGACATTTTGACTGTCAAAATGGCGGTTAATATAAATATTGCGTGCTTATTGATACACCTTTGACATGTTCAAAACTAACTTTTTTCTCAGAACTTCATGAACTGATTATGACATTGCGTGGGAAGTGCAGACCCAACCTACTTAACGCCATTTTTGGATTTCACTTTTTTTAAAAATAAACTTTGAAAACTATTTGTAGGTAATGAAAGTTGGAAAGAAATGGTGCAAGAAGCAGTAGGTGATGAAGAAGTACTTAAAAAGGAATTAGTTCATCAAGTTGCCCACTATGGAGACCCAGAGGAGGCATTGTGGTGGGCCCTTTTTTACAATGTTGACAAAAAAGATTGGCCATATACTGTTAAGATGTTAGAAGAGAACCCTGATGGAAATAGGTTAGTCTAATTTTGTCACTCATACGATCAATCGGTCTTTTTTCACTACAGACATGAAATATTGCAGTTATAGACCAGACTGCCTTATTTCTCTCCATAGGTAAATAATGAAATCAAAAAATATATGTAGACAAATAATAATGTCATGTGAAGTTATATCGTGTCAATTTCCTATGTCACAATGTGCGAGAATGATTGAGAATTAACTAATTTCGGTATAGGTCCTCATGTAGTTGATCTTCTTGACTACCCCAATAATCAACATAATCTTTGAAGACGAGTTCTTTAACGTAAATCGAATAATTTGTGTCATATAATATTAGTAGTGACACAATTTTATCCATACCAAATCTATTATTGATCTCGTATTTTATATACTTGCTCCTACCCGCCTGTTCTAAATATGCTCGCCTAACGATGGCCCACCTCTTAAATTAGGTATATAATAACTATTAATTTTTTGAACTGTATTTTTACTTCAGAGCTCAACAAAAAATTAATTCACCAGATGAAGAATCATGGGATAATGAACTGGTGGCACCAGAACCAATTGAGTACCACAGCATGCCATTACCTGTTGATGCAATCTTATTAATAGATAGTCCAATCAAATTTGAGGATTTTTTAGATACAGGCTTCCAGGTATACTCTACAAATCCATGCTTTACATTATTAATTTAATAAGCTGTTTTTTTGTTTGATGCCTTTTTTTGTTTGATGCCTTTCAGCATTGACCTTACTATAATTGTTGGCTTTTTATTTCCGGATTACATTTCATCTTGCTTTAAATCTCATATTTTTTCAGGATGTTGATATGATTGGTATTGATTGTGAATGGAAACCAAGTTTTGGTGGTAATGCAAATGAATTGGCCCTAATGCAAATAGCTACTAGGAAAAATGTGTTCGTGCTAGATATAGTTAACCTTGGGAACAAGGTACCACACTTGTGGCAGGAACTTGGGAAATTTATTTTCAATAATTGTGATATTTTAAAATTAGGTATATATGCTTATCCGAATTTGAATATTCTTGGTTATTTTAATACCTTTCCATTTTCAGGTTTTAGTATAACTGGTGATATTCATATGATCAGGCAGGCTCTACCAGATTTAAATTTGTTGCCTAAGCAAGTAGGCTTTTTAGATCTGTGTTCCCTCTGGAAGCATTTGGAGAAGTTTCCAAAGGTTAAACTGCCATATGAAGGTTAGTTACTGTTGTTGATGGAAGATTGAAAAAAATACTGACTAGAGGTTGCAACCTATCCATTTGTCAATCTGGTACAGCCCAAAAAGCTTGCAATTACATCCTTCAACAGTGAAAATGTTTCAGCTTTAAAAATAGACATTTCCGAAGCATTTTGTCTGGCTATACACGAAAATCACCTTAAAAAGTTAAGATTAGTTCTTTTTTCCAAGATATTACAAAACTAAAAAAATCTTCTGCGGGTCATTAATCATTTATAAAATTACATTCTGTTTTTAGATTCAATTTTCGTCAAGCGCTTGCAAAAAATTCAAAATTCATGTTGCTGATTAATCTGTAACTTGGAAAAATATGACCACCTTACCTCCTCGTTCGTAAAATTCGAATGGTTATCTATTCCTGATCTATTAAAATTTCATTTGCTCCTCTCAGAACTCCATTTTGTACTAAATGTTTTCCTTATAATGCTACTGTCATGTACAATTTCTACCCTTTGATACTAATGCTTTCGAGAATTTCAAAAAGTAACAAATTTAAAAAATCATTTTCGAAGAATCATTATCATAAATTTATCTCTCACTTCTGCATAAATAATATATGCATTAACATCATTCTATGAGTATGTATAATGTTATACTTTTCCCTTTTATCCAGTTTTGATTTATTTTACTTGGTTAATTCATGTTTATGTTGTTAAAACCTCTGCATTTTTAGTGGTATACCTGCATATTTTTATTGTTCATTTTGTGGACAGACATTTTACGGGTAGAATAGCTTCTGCTAAACTTCGCCCAATAAAGACGTTTTATTATTATTATTATTACTATGAACTACTTGGATAATAAAATCTCACTAAGCACTATGATCCGAGAATCGAATTCACCGCGGCAAAAATAGAAAATTCAGAGGACTACAAATGCCCAATAAACCTTTTTTTAATTGCTTAGAAGGAGGAAACGGAAAATATTTTTTTGTTGGCCAGGGTTAGATACATGGAATGTAGATATGTTCAAGCTGTCACTGCTTTTATCCTGCTCTCCAAATCTATGCTGCATTCATGGATTTTAATAATAACATGACGACTTCATCTGTGGCTGTCAGAAGACGATAAAACACTTAGTGGTCCCTTACTATTTGCATTGATTCAGAAGTTATTTTAAATACAGTAGAGACTCGATAATCCGGATCAATTAAAACCAGAGCTAATCCGAATTAGTAAAAGTCCGGATTATCGGGTCTTATATTTTTATGTATATATATTATAGAAAACTGTTGATAAACTAATGAAATGGTTAAAATATATACACTTTATTCTCAAAATCTAAAAAAGATATAAAATGAAAGTAGGAATGATCATAACTAAAACTACATACTACATGTACCTAAAAACATATCTACTATTCTATACGGATATTCTGCATTATTTAAAATAGTCAGAAATTTTACTTTGTTTCTTAAGTGCAATGATTGAAGAATACTTAACTATACTCGTAGCCTTCTCTTGTATGTTTTTTAGCGCAAGAATATCTCCAATGGCAAGATTATTTTCTTCAGCCCACTGCAACCCCATATAAAATATTTTATTGCATCTTCGTGCTTGATTTTTCTCTGCTGGATATCTACTTCTTCATCGTCGGTCCCATCGTCTATAGCCTCATACTCAACCTCGCCTTCCTCTATGACATTTTCTGCATTTTTAACCCATTGATTCATTTCATCATTTGTATGAATCTAACCATCAATTTGTGTCAGATGTTTGAAATGTCTTGGAAGCCTTGACCTATTTGCTGCAATTTCCTTTGTAGTACGCTTAAGGGAATCAAATAATCCGGGTCATAATCGGGTAAATTGCCTGATGAAAGTTTGTGCCAACACTTTTCTAAACAGTTGGCTTTATGCGATCCGGATTACAATGTACATAACTTAAACTTGGATCCGTCCGGATTATCAAAATATCCGGATTATCGCTTCGAGCCTCTACTGTACTTCATAAAAAACTTCATTGCAGTACAAACGGGTGGACCTAGCCTGAGCACCCTGGTGCACCACTGCTTGGGGCGCCCTCTAAACAAGTCGGAACAGTTTTCCAACTGGGAGAAACGGCCGTTACGCGACACTCAGATCGCTTATGCAGCGTTGGACGCGTACTGCCTCGTACAGGTCTACGACGTCATCAGGCGGTGCTGCGACGAGGCCGGCTTTCCCTTCGAGGAAACCTGCTACCATCTGCTCACCAACGAGAAAACTGCCAAGAAGAAGCATAAGAAGCCACAGGGACATAGGAAGGTGAGTGCCATGTGGTTTTGAGCATTTTCATAGACTAATACTTCAAAATATCTTTGGAAGACTGTCCTACAAATCAGTGGTATTAAAAAATTTATATAATAGATAGATATATGGATATGCTTTATTTGCATAAGAATAGAATCATTCTTAATGACAAAGTTAACTTAAAACTAAGCTATAACAAAATTACATATGCAGATCTTAAGTATTAATTTGTAGAACTCACATGCTATAATATGGTTGTCATATTAGAAAGCTTATAAGTTCAGGGCGAAATATCTTTAAATTGTTGATTCTTTTGATATTATCAGGGGGGCACATGTTAATTTTCAGACCATTTTAAATTGCCCAAATACTCTACCTGCCTCAACAGAGTAGCCCCATACAATAATGTTTCAAATTTTGATTTATTTTAATAAATAAGTGTTTTTAAAATGAACGATGATGCAGCAGTCTTTATTTTAAGATTTACAAACAAAGCTCTGCATGCAGGTATAGGATTGCTTTTAGTTATATAATAGTTCCTTTTTGTAGAATAAGCACTTTTGTAGACAATTTTGAGAACAGGCACATCAGTCTACTTTCAAATAAGGCAAAGTAACTGCTTAAGGATGTGCTTTTCTCTATATTGCAATTGTTTTTATAATAAAGGAAATCTTTGCTAGTTTGGAAAGCAATTTGTCTACATGATCAGTAAAATTTAATTTATGATCATTGGTCAGTTCTAAAGATTTAGGGTGTGTTGTTCATTATTTAAATTTATAAAATTAAGGGAGCATTTATATGTCATAAATTTGGTCGTATTAACATTGAAAGTTAGATAATTATGTCACCATTTTTTCATTGATTATTTATCACTGTCAATTTTTGTACTAATTTCAGTTATATCTGTGTTTTGCAAAGTGTTGTAGTATCGTCATCAAAAACTATGATTTTACCATTTATCTTTGAATTTATTAAATCGATAATATAAACTTTAAATATGGTCGGGCCTAGTACTGATCCTTGAAGTACCCCTGCTTTTATATTCGATTTATTTGAAATATGATATCTAGATACTTAACAATTTTGGATCGATCGTTTAAAAATGACTTTGTCTTTAGAGATAAGACTGATGAACGATCGCGAGACTTTTTTCTCCTTCCCCCATCTATTCACCTTCCTCATTTCAAGAATTAAGTACTGGAACATCCTGAAGACTCAACTCCTTTCATATACTTTTTTTTTTGTTTCAGAAACCTGTAGCCGCGGAGAAAGATATTCCCCAGCCGGCCAGTCCACACTCCGATCCTGTTTCTGCCGATAAACTCAAAGTTGTCTGTGATACAATGTTGCAAGGCCTGGGAAAGAAGCTGAGAAGTTGTGGTATCGACTCTGTCATTCTCGAAACTAATCAGGACCATATGGTCTGTGTGAAGTATGCTCAAGACGAAAGAAGATATATTTTGACAAAAGGCTATGAAACATACAAAATGGTACGTTGAACGTTGAATTCTTTTACTCGTAGTTTTAGTACTGAGGGCCTATTCCCGACCTTTTCTTTTTGCGCGAATCGTTAATAGAGAAGTTATACCAAGAGACGTGTTGTTCTTATTTGGCTAAGAGATAAATGTGGTGGTCCCAGATAGTTAATCCTTTTCGGATGAGTTCATTGTCTATCACTTCTAGCAAGGGATTAAGCATTTATTATTTATTAATTCTTCACGTTAATAAATCCCACGATAATACTATTCTTAAAAGTTTCTAGTAATATGTACACAAAAGATTAACGAGATGTTAGGTTCCGCAAAACCAATCAAACCTAATCCGGTCCTGCACGTCGATCCGATCAAACGTGAACATGTACGATGCGCATCACTACTCAATCCAGGCGCTCGCCACTTTGGTGAACAAAATTTTTTCATATAGGTTCTAAAAAAACAGACAAAAACGGCACACTCATACAGCAATATAGAAGGAATATTATTTTAATTCACGGTGAGTGTCTTCAAAATTCTACCGAGGCTTCGCGAGTGCATGCAGATCGTTTTTCAAGTTCCTTCGTGATTTCTTGTTTGGATCGAAACAAAATGTTTAGTTTATAAAACTGAGGTGAGTACTGTTGATGAACTACGCTTGCGAATTTAGCAATTTGCCGCATTCATTTGGGAATTGCAGTCCATTCTAAAAGCCTACACCGATGCTTCGCTACGTCGAGAACATACGAGGCTTGTTCAATAAGTACCTGAGTTTGACGACAGAGGGCGTTCCGGAGGAAAGTTGGTGTTATCATCGTGTGCTGCTATCAAACGACGGCACAACAAATTTGAGACTGATTTATAGGTTAGTTTGGATTTGGCACACATTCGTTTGGAGTAATTTAAAATCCGAAGGATTTTTTGCGTCGAGTTGTCACCATTCATCATTATACACCAGAAACTAAGCTATAATCAAAACAATGGATTTCTCCGGATGAATCTGCTGCAAAGAAGTCGAAGACGGTCCCATCGGCCGCAAACGTCATGGCGACGATTTTTTGCAATGCGAACGGCGTCATCCTTATGGATTTTTTAGAAAAAGGAAACGATCACTGGACAATACTACAGTGCGTTATACACATATGTTATACACTTCTTAGTTTTTGGCGAGTAAAACGGTAAAACACAATAATTCATCGTTAATTTATTCAAAAAATTTTTTCAGCTGCAGGGATACGTTCCTTTGGGACATTGTCTGAAAATCAAGAGTGATGACGTAGACGAACAGATAAAGGAAGTTATTAGTTATTATAAAGTGAATGTAACGAAGGAAGACGTATTCAGCAGATGTCAGGTGAGAAATGATATATGTAACTTCGAAAACGTATAATTTGGTTATATTTGTAATCCTTTTTGATGGTTTGCTGAAACTATCCTTAAGCTGTTTTGCATCATCCCAGTTTAGATCTTATTTGAGGTTCGATATTTTTGGTTCAACTTTTATCCCTTTTCAGAGTTTTTTGGGTATTCATAATTTGAAAATGGGAATTACCGAGGTAATTTATTTTACCTGTATTTTGCAGGCTTGTAATGGCAACAATTTTGTCAAAATATCCCAATCGACAATGAATACGTTGGCGAAATCTGCGGAAAATCGAGAATCTTCAGCTTCAAATTATTTTTATGAAGACGAAGCGACAGGTTTCTCCAGTGAAGGTGACGATGAAGATGATTGTGCGGAAGCCGGCCCTCCTATTGCGTCAAGGAATCGGAAATGGGATCTATGTGAGTAAATATTGTATTCTGGCTTCATTGAAAAAAAGCTTGGTGACGATTCGGGATTTTTATTATTCTTTTGTTGTCATTCGCGCTTCCTTTTTTTGAAAATAAATGATTGTTTCCGAAATAAATTGATTTTTTTTAGTTTTTTTCCAAAGTAATGTACAGTTTTTGGACAAACATTCAAGGGATGTGTTTCTATTCTAGGACTATTTTGCAAGTCCCTAAAGTATGCCACTGACTTCTTAAAGAACCTCTGAGCGAATTTTTTTAGCATAGTAACGTTCGGACCTGGTATGATGAAAGCTAGACTAGTTAGGTTGACTGTCATGTCTAAGATTGTGAACAAAGTTTCGTGAGAAATAGGTTACTCTCCTATCAATTTTTCCTTTTTCCTATCTACTTTCGACAGTTTGACCACCGCGGCCTAGCGGGAGCAAAATTTGACATCGCTACCATTGATTCTTTTATGTACCTGAGTACGTACAGGGTGGCCAATATATAACTGACTGATTTAAATTGCGCGCCATTTTTGATACACGGATTTCAGTATGTGGCGCCGTAGTAGTTCTTTAAAGCACATGTGTCCGATCCATCATAGAGCGCTACACGATCCCACAACGCGTCCGTATTGTTAAAACGTTGTACTTAAATAATGAGTCGATTGTTGCAACGATTCGGAAGCTACGACAAGATCTCGGACGAAATAATGTGCCCAGTGTCAGTTTGAACAAGCAGGTCAAGTTAAGGACTTGCCAAGGTCGGGCCGTGTTCGAACTGTTCGTACTGCGGAAAATATCGAGAGTTCGTGAAGGTGTAGTGGAGCACCCTGAGACGTCTACCAGACATCGTTCTCAAGAACTGGGTATTCGTCGCACGTCATTACGCACTGTTTTAAAAAAGACCTGCATTTGCGGCTATACAAAATTTAGTTAACCCAAGAACTACAGCCTCGTGACCATGGAAGTCGCCGCTAATACATTCATGCAATATTACAGCTTAATACCCAAAATAACGATTTTTACCGACAACTGATAATGAGCGATGAAGCCCACTTCCATATGAACGGATTTGTATCTGGGTATTAGAGAACCCTAATGTCATCCATCAACGACCACTAACATCCTCGTCGAGTCACAGTTTGGTGCGGTGTTTGGCATGGAAGTGTCATTGAACCTGTCACTGTCGAGCGCTACTGTGATATGGTGCAAAACTTTCTGGCTCCTTAAATCCAGCAATTTAACCTGCAAAACATGTGGTTCCAGCAGGACGGAGCAACTTGTCACACAGTTAGGGAAACAATGAATCTCTTGCGAACAATATTTCCGGAACGTTTAATTTTTCGATTTGGTGATGTCAACTGGCCACCAAGGTAACCGGATTTAACGGCTCCTGACTTTTTTCATGGGGATTTTTAAAAAATAGGGTTTATGCCAGCAAACCAAATATGGTAGAGCAGCCGAAGAACAATATTACGGAAGCGATTGAAAATATTCCTCCCGAAACTCATCAGAAAGTGATGGGAAATGTAATCAAGAGGTCTCAGGTTTGCGCGACTTCTAGAGGCGGACATTTGTCTGATATTATTTTTCATACATAATTTCCAAGTTTCAAGGAAATATTAAGATGAAAAAATGGACGTATTTTACTTCATTTCACAAATATTCAAGATACAAACCAGTCAGTTACATATCGGCCACCCTGTACTACTCCTAACACAGTCTAAACATGATGCTTTTGTCCGTCCGATCAAAATACAGTCAAACCAGTTTCGTGCGATTTGGCTACTAATCAGCATGGTGTAGGCTTGGTCTCTCGTCTCTGGGATAACGAATGAAAACATCGCAGCTATCATCTATTCTAAATAAGACAGCGCAAAGCGCTATCTATTACCAAAATCGACCACTGCAGAGAGTGCATAGCAGCTATTGGGTAAGGATCTCAGTTCGCGTTTATTAACCCAGTCACCATTTGACCGCTAGATGGCTGTCGATTCTGACTGGATAGTAGATGTGGTCTACTTGCCATTGAACATTTGTTGTGCCCCGAAACAACTTTCATTAGCTGTCTTCTGATCATGTTCAGTTTATTCGATGGCAAATAGACCACATCTACTTTACAGCCAGAATCGTCAGCCGTTTAGCGGTCACATGGTGACTAGGCTATTAAACTAAGATTCCTAACAGTTGCAATAGCAGCTATGCTATGCTATCTTATTTTGATTATCGTGTTGTGAAAATTTTGTAATTAATTCTACAGCGCCATTTAGAAGTTGTATAGGAAGAACCAATTTTGAGTGGCGCCCGTTAGAAACCTGTATCTCTGAAAGCAAATTGCGAAAGTGATCTAAGGACAAAATAGTCTTGGAATCTTATAATAGGTCAAACATCACTGTATGAATATCTTGTCTATTGTCTATTTCGTTCGTATTTGTCGAATAGGAAGCAGTTTGTAAGCTTTGAGGGCTCCGCCTCTGACCTTTTGCCTATTTGCAATGGGGTACCGCAGGGAGCAGTACTTGGCCCCCTGCTATTTTTAATATATATTAATGACCTGCCTCAGAGTATTGATAACGGATCCTGCTTCGTATTCGCAGACGATACCACCTTGCTGTTTAGGCCTGACCAAAACAAGTTATCGTTAAATGAAAACAACGTATCATATTACATTCTCTTCTGACATATGAGTTGTGAGACCAGTAAAACTTCAGGACCAAAAATAATACACTTGACGTCAAATTATACAGGGTAATAGTTTAAAAATAAGTTTTTTTAATATCTTCAAATCCGTCAACTGGAATGAAATAAAACTTGGTATGTCGATTTACCTAAGTCTTGTCTATATTCAAAAGTCTTTACTTAAAATTAACGTGTACCAGTGGCGGAGATTCAGGGGATTAGTGATTAGTTTTCCAAATAAAAATCGTACGCAACTGTTTTCTTTTTCGAAACGCGCAATTTTTCGAATTTTACTTTCAATCAATAATTACTTTGTGTTTTTTCCTAGAGTGCACTGTTTTCGTAAAAATAAAAATAAAACAAATCAGATAATCAAATCATTTCAATGAATGTTTAAAAAGACGACCTTTCTGACAGATACAAGTGCGGCATCTTTTAACAAAGAAAAATTTATTTCCGCAAAATTGGTTATGGCTTGAATTTGATGAAACGCATTATCTATTCTTTCTTGTAACTGATCAGCAGTATTAATTTGTTTATATATACTAGTTGTTTAAAAGCGCCTCATGAAAAGAACATGTCTATCGCTACTTTTACGTTTTTGCTAAAAGAACATTGCTCAATCACTGTTTCTATTCAGTTGATGAGTACGTTGTTCCTATGACGTCGCTAGAATAGTTAATAAATTAGTTTGTATGATCTCAAATCTACATTGTACATACGTACAGAATGTGGTCAATACATGGTAAATAAAATAAATAAATATCTACTTTCGTCTAGATCCCGACGAAAAGGTGGACGTCGGCCTCTGCCAAACAAGATTGGGCGCGAACATCCAAGTAAAGGCAATCCCAAAAGCTCTGATGACACAGCACGACTTTTTCTACGTGTGTGAAGAGTGCGGGAAGGTGTACTGGGATGGTTCCCACTTTGGAAAAGTCATTGCAGGAAGATTGCAGGGAATCGTGCAATAAACAAATAAACATCCATCTATACCTTTATTATAGATATATCGCCATTTATTATTTCTTTTACCTCAATAATATTGATTCAATATTGGTGTTGTAATTTCTACGGGGTGTCCCAAATGTCGACGTCGAGCCCGAAACGGGGATAGGCCAAGTCATAATAGTTATCAGAAACATGAATATAAGTGGCGTCTTGAGGAACGGGACCGGTGAACATTCACAAAAACTCGGTGTTCGGGATGACGAGCAGCATTTGGGTACCTCTCACGATAAAGGCCAGCTGCAGCACTAGCATTGCACATTCCCCATAAATGAGGTGCATTTGACGTATTCCTGTATGGTGTACACAGACATGGTGGCACTACACAATCATGAATTCATAAAAGTGGCGTTACTGTCTGTCTTGCTGCTACTACGTAGAATGCCGCTGGCCGTCACTCCGTCTAAGAAAAAAGTGAAATTTATAGTAGTGGGAACTAAAAGGTTAATATTTATCCGATTTTTCAGATTCGTTTTTAACGTCCATAATTACAGTACATGATTTTTTAAAGCTTATAATTTGAAAAGTACACGGCTTAGACTTTTCTTATATTTTTCTGATAAATATTATGACTTGGCATATCCCCCGTTTCCGGTTTGACGTCGACGACTGGGACAGCCTGTATATTTTTCGAAAGAAAACTGACAATATTGAAACTTAAAATATGGAATTTTTGGCTTTACGTCATTTTTTTATCACTGCTGTTTTTGGTTTAATGTTAGGTAGACACTGAGAGAGTAAACAAATGTAAATGGGAAGTAAACTTCCATGTTGCCATATTGCTACCTGATGGCGTAATTTTATCATGGCACTTAACATATTGGATAATTAATTCGTGTCAAAATTATTTTAATCCGTCTTCGAGTATAATGTTTGCCTGGCCGTTGTATTTTGAGAATGTGATTTATCACGTTTCCATTTGTTGTTATTGTTTCTGATCGTTGTGTTGTTTTCTTATTCCCAACTGGGCAAATCAGACATTTTTGAATCGATTCTCGCATTGTCGAATTCATAAAAATTTTAATTTCTGTTTGAAACCTAAACCAAACTCGATATGTAAAGAAAAATTGCTTTTATTTTTGAATATTTTGTTAGATACAGGGTGCCCCACTTAATACTTCAGCGATCGATTATTCGAAAAGTTGAGGTTATGAAAGAACGGATGTGAAGAATTTTCAAATTGCTCCTCAGAGCTCTCCTACATAATGCTGCCGCGCGCTGTGCCTGCCAGACAGACCCGCCTGACTCCGGCCTTCCATCCTAATCGTGTCGAACTTCGTACATCCATAACTGGCCGATACGGCCGCTCCTTTGTACCTAAGGTATTGATATTGTGGAACAGTCTACAAGAGGATGCCTTTCCTGGATCTACTAACCTTAGACAGTTCAAATGTCGGATTAACAAAGTTTTTTTGGGAACCTCATAGCAGACGCGGTGTTCTGACATTTAGGCTTCTGCCTGCGCGGCTCCTTCGGTGTAAAAAAAACACTTGCAACTGCTCGATTACATGATAAGACTTGTGCTTTCATCTTTTTACAGTGCAGAGGAGAATTACACTGTTTGCTCGGCTTTTCTCTTTTACTTTGCGAAAGTTCCAACGGTTTATATTGCAACTGAATTTTTAGGCCCTTGTTAGTAGAAAGTATGCGAATGCTGAGAATTAAATTTCATTTTATAGTTCTGGTGTGATTTTAAAACTTTGGACAGCTAGATTTGCATCGAAGGTCTTTTACCTCTAATTTCAGTATTTTTGATAACTGACTTTTTAGAAAATAATTAGTTTTAGCGATTTTAGTATGGTGTTACTAATCAGATGTTACTTCATCAAAGTAAACAAACAATTTTTATGTCGATAAATAATCATCGACATATGATATTATTTGAATCTGGAACTCAGATGATAACCTGATCAAAATTTGAGTATCGAAAAAGGATCTGTGTTATACTTGGTTGATTTTATTTTTTTAGTTAGATTTAGTATATGTTTTTTCTTCCTCTTTTTACCCTTAATTTTGATCTGATAAATATATGATCCATGAGGTATGTATAATTGTGAACGATATTTTATTTTATCTAGAAGTTAACAGCAGTGATGTTTTATATTATGTATATTTTTTGATAATTATTGCTGATACTAATGACATTTTTTAATCATCAAATATATTCATTGTGTATTGAGACCGTTGTGTTTTATTCCGTTCCTTATGGTGTGCGTGGATTTTTTCCCAAACTTTGCTTGCAGTCCCAAGTTCTTATGCCTATTGGTAAAGTTGCCGCCTTCAAAAACCCTTTGTGTAACCCCAAAAATACACCTTTTGACTGTTTGACTTCGAACCACACCGCCTAGCGGGAGCTTAACACATTGGCTGCCATGTGAAACACCGGTGATACACAGGCGCGTTTTGCTCGGAGGCCACGTGACTCACATGTGTTTCACATGCAGTATACTTCTAAATTAGATATATATCCGCTTGGCCTGTGAATTAAGTTTAACTACTTATACTGTGGCATACTGATAATATAAACAACTCATTGAGATACATAACATCACTGGTTGCCTACCTTTGTAGGGTAAATTTACGACTGCACTTTTACTATATTCAGGTTGGTTCTTGTACAGATTTTGCGGTTTATGGGTTATGTTTAATGTTGTGAGAACCTGCAAACTAAGAGGGGTGTTTTAGAAATATAAATTTTAGTAAATCGTGTGTGTGTTATAAAGTGGTGTTATAAATATGAGTGATGAACCTTCTACAAGTTCTGGACGACCCAAACGATCTTGTACTGGCAATAGCCAAAATAAAAAGCAAATTTTAACACAAAAGGAACTGCAGGAAATCGCAGATAATTGGGACGATTGGGAAGATTTTTCATCTTCAGGATCAGGTATGTAGTAAAAATACATGTTTGTTGTTGAAATTTTATCTGGGGATGGTTCTCTTTTACAGGCGTATAAATTAACACCTTTTTCATTTATTTATTTATAGAGTATCTAAATTCGGAATCTGATGATGGTAGCAATAGCGCAGGCAGTAGTCTTCCAAGCATTCATAGTTTAGATTGCGATTTAGATGAAGTAGACACTGAAGAGAGCCACAATGTAAATACTCTACTACAAGATAATGAGGATTGGCATGATGTTGACGGGACATCCTTGCGTTCTGACATTTTTTCTGGTGCAGAGCAATACATGTATCATCACGGCATTTACCCTGGTATTAATATATTTTTTTGTCTATTTTTATTTGGTAAAAATATAAAATATTTTTTCAGATGATTCTAATGATCTACGTCCAATTGATGTTTATGAACGTTTCATTGATGACGAGATTCTTGAAATTATCGTTTTAGAAACAAATAGAAACGGCACACAGCTTTTACAAAAGCCAAATATAAGGCGTTCAGCTAGAATAAGACGATGTGTCCCTACAAATAAAAAAGAAATTAAAAAGTTTTTAGGCATAGTCATCTATATGGTCATAGTCAAATATCCTAAAATTCCGGACTATTGGCGAAAAAATAGGCTGTACAATAATACGTTTGTTCCATCAGTGATGAGCAGAAATCGTTTCCAACTTCTGCTAAGAGTACTTCATTTTGCGAATAATGATACCGCAGATAAAGACAACCGACTTTATAAAGTGGAAGATGTTATCAGAAAATTTCAGACCAAATGTTCCAACGAGGCAATTCCAGGGGAAACATTAGCTGTAGATGAGACTATGGTGCCCTTTCGTGGACGCCTAATTTTCCGGCAGTATATACCTAGTAAACGTCATCGATATGGCATAAAACTATTCAAATTGTGCGATCCAAAAGGCTATACCTACCGATTGTCAGTCTACACCGGCAAAAAATTCGAAGATACAGGTAAAGGAAAAGGACTGGCAGAAAAAGTTGTAATGGACCTTGTTCATGACTAATTGGGAGAAGGAAGGACACTAATAACAGACAATTATTATACTTCATTACCTTTAGCGACATCATTGTTGGCATCCAAGACTCATCTTCTAGGCACGCTTAGAAAAAATCGAAAAGGTCTCTCTAAAGAAGTTATGAGTGCACAGCTAAAAAGAGGGGAAATTGTGGGGAAGGAAAACACTACAGGACGCGTTATAGGTAAATGGAAAGACAAAATGGATGTTCCGTTCTTGAGTACTAAGCACACGCTGGATATAAAGGCTACCGGGAAGAAAAACAGAAAGGGCGAGGAGGTAAAGAAACCTTCTGCCATATCAGAATACAATGCTGGTAAAGATGGTATAGATGTTTCTGATCAAATGGCGAGCTACTTTTCCCCACTCCGCAAAACAATTAGATGGTATCATAAGCTAATGTTTGAAATTCTCCTGAATACGGCTGTCATCAATTCTCTTAATATTTACAAGCACTTCAAAAAACAAAACATACAAGTTGGTGCTTTTAGAGAGATGTTGATTGAGAGCCTTACCATGTCCCAAGTGTCCCAGTAAATGAAGATAAACATAGTCTGATCAGTACAGAAGAAAGAACAGCAGACGGGAGAAAGAAAAGGAAGAGATGCATTTCATGTTATGAGAAAAAGGCCAGAGAAGGAGGTGGAGTTGTGGGAATGAAACAAGCTAAATTGGTCTCTACCAAGTGCGGGCAATGCAATATTCATCTATGTTTTACTTGTTTCACTGAAAAACATTAGTTTTATTTCCTGTTTCTTCTGTGATCACCGGTGATACAGATGGCACTGGAGAAATACCGATTAACCTAGATGCCATGTGTATCACCGGTGATTTTAATTTTTTTGCAGTTGTTTATATGTTTTTTATGTCAATAAAGTTTTCGTAACCATGTTTTTGTGATAATTTAGGTTTGGCCCCTAATAAATGAAAATGACCCCTTATGGGGGCAGCCAAAGTGTTAATTGGACAACGATGAGATTACAAGGGTCATATGAGTCTCGGCTGTTTGTATGCTCTTCTAGTCGTCATTGTCAGAACGTTTTGTAGGAATTTGCTATTGTTTAAGGTATCGTTGGACAGTATCTCTCTGTCGGATCTGGTTGCCCAGATACCAGACAATTTCAAGGCAACAAAGAAGAGAGGAAGGCGCAAAGAGGAGGTGCGTTACTTTGAGGGGTGCCCTGGCATTGTTAACTAGTATCCGGGAATTTTAAATTGATCCTTAAATTAATTTAGGGATTAGTTGTGGAAAATTGTAATTCTGGTTGGACCTACATTCGCACTATTTAGTTTTATTCACAGTGCGGGCAACGGTCTTGTGTACTTGCGCACTTTCTTGACTATGTGGTCTATTGACTCGCGCAATAAAGTGTTGCTATGCGATTCCGCTTAACTATACCATAGCTCGCTTGTTGTTTGATGCAGTCTCTTAGATAAGAGATGTTGAGGTCTCTGTGAAATCTGCAAAAAACCCAAATGCGTTTTTGCGAGAAAATACCAAGTTGTCGCTAGTCTAATAAAACCATCATGTAGCCGTGCTTTGTTGATGAAACTTAATTTTGAGGTTCTACATAGCATAGGGTAGTTTTCAATGCTTCAGTATACTTCTGCCAGTTCATCCCTTTGTGAAGAGTGATACCAAGATATCCATGGTAGCTGCGTTTACTGAGATTTCATATGGGGCGCCGCCCATTCCAATACCTCGTCTGTAGCACTGGCTTGAACAAGATTGCCAGAACACGACAGGGCCACCAGGACAGTGTCATCAGTATAGAGATAGACTTCACAGCTGCTTTAAGCTTAAGGCCATAAATCAAAGCGAATGGAAAAATGAATAGTTACTCAGTGGACATTCCATCCAGGATCTAAATTCATTTTTTTTCTTTTCTGAATTTTTTCATATTCAGCTAGATGTTTGTTTATGTATACTAATGCTGGAAGGCGGGAAGTAATAACTGTTATTTGCTGTAACAAATGACATCATGAATGAAAATTGAATAAAGAATTGGTCCAAGAACTGAACCCTGAGAGACACCAGTTTTGACTGTGTTGTTGACAGAACATTATTAATTTTGATCCGAAGTTCCTAACTTCAATGGCGGGCTTCAAAAGTGTTAAGAGCCAGAAGGGGACGCCCTCATGGATCAATTTACAGAGAAGGCCATTGTGCTAGTATTTATGCTATAAAAAATTAAAAAAAAATTGTTGCTGGAAGTTCACAGAAAGTAGCAGTTAAAAACAATATTTCATTCTTCAGAATAAGTTCTTTATTAAAAACGTGTTTCACAGCAGACGTATAGAGTTAAGAGAAAGACAATAAATAGAAAAACATAAGTCGTATATGCATAAAAATAAATAACATCCATAGCAGAAATTATAACCTTAGATCTATTCCGTAGAGATTGCACATTGTACTGGCAGCATTGTAAAAGACCTCAGAGGTTCGAATTCCAGTTGTGGACAACTAGGGAGGGAGGTTGGTGTTTCATCAGTCTAGATCTCCACCGCACGTAACCAGCCTCCCCTTTCGTTATTGTCCAATCTTGCATCAAAACAAACACAACTGGTCGATATCACGTTTTTCGCCGTTGTGTTGACTTATCCCTTTGCGGCATACTCGTCATGAAATTATAGCCAATAAAATCGTTTGTGGGAAGAGCAGGTGTAGTGCACCTTATGGAAACGTTCGATTTGCGATGTGGGACTTGGGAGTAAGCACAACAAAGATTGTTTTGCCGAATTCCATCCGACATTCGAACGGATTAGCTGCTCACTTATTTGAAGCCTAACAGTGCTACCATAATTTACGCACCAGATCAGTGCAAGATCAAATCAGGTACATCGCATCGCTGGTCATGGTATATTCATACCATTAGATGAGCAGGGCTCATGGACTGACGAGTCATTCCGTCAAAATCACCACCCACACGCAGCTTTCCCATTCGATTCGATCCGCAGTTATCATAATCATTCGAACTTAAACGAGAAAACTCGGAATCCCTTCGATTTCTGAATGTGAGAGGGCAGCTTTATTTTTGCACATACAAACTTATATCCAGCGTACTGGCTAATGGTATAGCATGAATTATCAATCGAGAACCCGTGTTTGTCGTGAAGCGGCGTAAATGCCATTTACTTAGCGTTTTAGTCTCCCATCACTGGAATTCGAGCCACAGTAATTTGTTGTTTTTACCTAGTATCTATAACCACCACCACCACCACCTCCAGCAGAGTAACCTCCTGGTCTGTACTGGCCTTCGTCATCACCTCCGTCGTATCCTCCTCCGCTTAGTCTATTTTGTTCTAAGGACCTGAAAGCAAAACGTTTTGGATCAATTCGGTAGTATTCCACGTACAATAGGCGCTTTTTGCCTCCCTCTCCGAACGGATGCAACCTAGTGAAAATACTTGGATATACACTGAGCTACCCTAAATAAATATAAACAATAGTTTTCACTAGGTCGCGTTTATTCCCAGAAGGGATATTTTGGATAAGGATACACATAGCTTTGAAAAACGTAAAAACTTATTTTTCACATATTTCCTACCTCCTATCTAGGGTAGTTCTGTGTATATGCAACGTTTTCTATACGAGGCCCGTAAATTAAGTGATAAAACTGGCAACATAGCTTTGGATCTGGCAACACTGTACAAGTTTGACGTAGCGATTCTTTTTTTTGTTAATCAGTTTTTCCTGTTGCGTTCTAAAAATGAATCAATTTCGAGCAAGGGTGTGCTATCAGATTTTGCTTCAGACTAGGACACAGCCTAAGAGAAACTCTTGGTAAAATTCAGCAGACCTACGGAGATAGTGTTTTGTCAAAAGTCCAGGTTTTTCGGTGGTTTAAGGCATTTTCAGGTGGGAGAGAGTCGATTGAAGATGATCCACGAAGCGGAAGACCTTCGTCTTCAAGAACCGATGAAAATATCGACAGAATCCGGAATCTTGTGCGTTCAGATCGTCGGTTGACAGTATGATCCGGGAAGAGGTATTCCTATTCGACTCACACCATCATCCATTAGATCAACAACAACTGGGTGATGCATCACGATAATGCTCCTTGTCACACAGCAATGTCAACAAACGAGTTGAACTCAGTTGAAAGATTGTAACCGAACAGCTGAAGGCTATTCCAGTATTGGAGTTCCTGGAGTTCCTCCTATGAAGAGTTGAAGAACCGTCTTCAGCGCTGTGTGGCTTTGTAATTGTATTTGAATTAAAACATCAAAACAAATCAGTCTCACCACTTAATTTACATTCCTCGTGTGCAATGACTTCGGTTAATCTCAAATATCCTGGTATTTTTTTTAGAATTTCGAGCTACCGGAATTTCTATCTAAAGGCTTTTTTATTCGATAGGGGGCGATTAGTGTACTCGCACTAGATTTCTCCGCGCTTACCCCTATACCTAATTAGAGACAATAGTTTTCACTTGGATGCGTTCGTGTCCGAGAGGGGGGCAAAAAGGTAGTCTTTAACGTTTTCGTTGAATAGCTTGTATTTTATCGACAGCCAAATCGGACAGAATACCTGTTCAAAATTATGTCTGATTCCCTACACATACGATAAATTTCTTCAAAATTTGTCGAATGCTGAACAGAAGTTTTGAAAACGAACAAAAGAGTAGGCATGCGGGTGTTATATTTTTTCTTTCTCGTAAAACTGTATTGAATATCTTAAAGCATTTTCGTCTAAATCATGACAGTAATTTTAACGACAATGGTAGACTCAGTACCTCCCCACGCCATTTTGAATTTCTTCACAGTTTTTGAGAAAAATGGAAAAGGTCATGAAGATTTGCAGTGGCGAAGAGTCCATGTACCCATTGTTACCATTGGTAATAGTTAAAAATCTTAAAAATAAATATTTTATGACTAAGTACTGTGAAATAATTTCATTTATTTGTTTACCAACAGCGATGTGTAATAGTAATTCAGTAAATAGCAAATTAACCCCACGAAAATAATGCGCCCTATATTGTCTATGTTTTCCGAACACGATGAAGCTGATTCGCCTCGACTTGGTTGTCGGTTGTTACGATTTTCATTTATGGATACACTTGGTAGTAAGTCGGGGACCGTCGGTAGCGGCTCGTGTCTGATCGCGGTCGCCCGAGTGCGTGGGGCGCTGCGACTTTATTATGTGGGCTTGTTACCATTCTTTGATTTGGTTACTCACTTCTCACTCGTTAGTAGCTGTTTTGGTTACCGGCTGTAGTGTGCGTGAAATTAATCATGGATGAGTGTCGCAGCGTAATCGATCAACTACTTGAAAAGTCATTCTCCTTGTGTAATTTTTAAGAAAAAAGGATCATTAAAAATGGAAGACATCTATTTTAGATAATTTTAAAAAGGAATAATAAACGTAGTTTGATATTTTGAATTAAGTTGGTATATGGAAACTCTTGGTTTTGTGGTTGCAAAAAACAGATTGTATTGTTGGCGATGTATCCTGTTTTATACAGAAAAAAATGGGTGGACCGGCCGCGGAGTCAACGATTTCAATAGTTTTAGGGCTCTAAAGAGGAGTCATGAAATTTCTCCGTTACATGTGAGATGTGTAGCCAATTTATTCAGTTTGGCAAAACAAGAATCGAAAGATGTCTTAACCAAGCTTTTAAGCACCACACGTCTAGATACCGTATGTTTTTTGGCAAAACAGGAATTACCGTTCATTTTGAAGTGGATGACTCTGACAATAGAGGAAATTACAGGAAATTATTAACATTCATTGCCAAAAAAGATCAAACATTTTCCGAACATCTAGAAACGTCGACTGTTTTTTCGGACGGCTTGGATTAGTCATCAGATGCTCCGTCCAGGAATTTATACCTTAATTTAAAAACAGTTTAAATAAAATACCTAAAATAAGCAAAAACTTATATTTGGGAGGTTCAAAATAAACTTTTTTTAATAAGATTTTTCACATCTGGTTTTGGTAACAGTTTAGGAAAAGTCACGCGTCGCCACTGAAGATTTGCTGTATCACTACGGAAAAATATTGACTACATTATCAATTCGTACTCTTGAATAAATAGGAACACTAATAATAATTTTACTAAAAAATATGAATGTATAAATAAGAAATCATTTTGTTACTTATGTCGTGCCGAAACTTGTTTTCTAATACAACATCAAAACCGACATGACAAAAACCACCCTGTTATGTGAGCGTAAATAATGTCAATAGGCACACCTTAGTAATGTAGCAAGGTTACTGTTATTTTGAATGACAAATACCTCCCCCTACTAAATTCGGTCGTAGACTATTGCTTCACCTGATGTTATCAAGAGAAGTTTCGTATGTTGAAGAACATGTTTGTGATCCAAGCCAAAAAAAGTACTATTCTATAATTTACCTAAGTATAGCTTCTGGAATAGGTGGCGGTGTAGGTAGATGAGCACCTTGCGGTCTAAAACCATTCTCGTCGGCTGTATAGGTCAAAGATATCCTTTGTCCGTCTGGAGCTGTGTACGAGAAAGATCCTTGGGCAAGTTCCCCACCATCAGGCCCTGGACCAGCTCTTCCCTGCTCTTGAGCTTGGATCCCGTTGCCTGTTTCGTATGCGTAGCTGTAAGAGCCGTCTCCTGCATTGGGATTGTTTTCATACCTAAAAACAAGATTGACGATCAAGATACATAAATATATTTAATACTCTAGACTCTAGAGAATAACAGCCTCGAAAATCTTCAGAAAAACATCAAGCAGAAATATTCCGAGTTTCTGAAATTTTATTCTAATAATCAAGATCTAACATACTTCCAAAACTGTGATAGGGGAAAATATCGTTTTTTTTGCTGATTTCCCTTTAAATTTTTTCGGCATGAAACTGTAACGTATAACAAAGACAAAAATAAACGAGCTGAATCATGAACCAAACGTTTTCATTTTTTGGATTTTTAAAAATGGATGGTTGAAAACTGAAACGGTCTCATTACAAGCTCTCAAGGGTTGGGTTCTACTGCCATCACCAGCCATGGCCAATGGGAACTCTCTGAAAGTTTCGTGATGAACATTAACTTCGCAAATTAGTCACTAAGAAGCTCTCAACATATTCAAGCGCTGTCTTCAACATTCTTCACTTCTAAGACTTTTGAATGGTCTCAAATGCTCCTGACGACTGTACTAAACTTCTTTCGACCGTTTAAAGACAAAACGACACATTGTGAAAAAGCAGCGGGACAGTAATTTGTAGTTGCAGTGTTTCAGTCAGATGTGTCTTGAGGAATTTGGCAACTTACCTAGTGATTGGAATCTGTGGACCACCTCCAAATCTTCCTCCAGCGCCTCCTCCAAACCCTCCAGCTCCCCCTCCAAAACCTCCAGCTCCACCTCCAGTTCCAAATGCACCACCACCTGCTCCACCGAATGCACCACTGCCCCCGCCGAATGCACCACCGCCTCCTCCAAATGCTCCTCGTCCTCCAAAGGCGCTACCTCCAAATGCTCCACCAGTTCCTCCACCAAAACCACCTCCCACTCTTGGAGGGAGGTAGTCCAGCCTCGCGCACAGGACTGTTCCCACCAAGCTGGTCAAAATGAGCTGAAAAAACACAAAGATGATTTCTAAAATCTAGTATTCAGAAAACACATCCTCAATCAGTAGCCTAGAAGCTTACCATTCATTAAACCTTGCCTATGCACGCCACTGGTTTTCACAACTAGTAATTGTGGAACCAACCAATTTGAGTAAATTTTTTATTATTTTACTTCTGAAATTATCGGTCTTTTTTTCTCAAGATTCTTTAGCATTTCGGATTAAGTGATTTTATAAAGAAGATATCACAAAGCCTTAGCAACCTCGGACACGAAGCATGAGGATGAAGTACTATAATACAGAAGGCTTTCAATACTGTTCGTACTACGCCAGGTATTTTCCAAAGAGGCAGAGAGAGAGTCTTTGTGGCATAGAGCGCTTTCAACTCCTCGTTTAGGTTGGATATTATAGCATTTATTCAGCATTATTTTTTTGTTCCCAATGTTATGTCCTCATAAATTTGGAAATATTCTCGTAAGTTGTATTAAATGTAATGTTTATTGTTGTAGTGTTTAATTTTTATTAGCTTTGTTGATTCATTTTTGAAATAAGCATTTTCTTTGCTTTGAAGTTTCTTTATTTATAAACAAAACCAGCGGCGTGCACAGGAAACGTTTGATGGATGGTGAGCTTCTCCGCTACTGATTGAGGATATGATACGCATATTAGTCAGTTAATGTTGTAATGACGTGCCATAGCTTTCTTCATGTGCGATATAGTATTTCCATTATCAATTTTCACGTTGTTTTCGGAATAGGGGAGGCTAAACCTTTTCATAAGAATATTTTAGGATTTTACCTATAATATTTAAAACTAAATATCTACAAAACGAGTGATCTGACAAAAATTCGTTAAGAAACAACATATATGGAAAATTGAATAGTATTTCATAAATTGCTCTTCTTTTCTTCGAAAAGGCCAGTGGCATAGTAAATATTTTCTATTAGGGTTCGGGTTACCCCAGTTTCTACATCCCTGGTTTATTTCGGAGTTTATTGCTTATGATGTGCTCACAGAACGTCTAAAATCTTAACTCAGCATCTTTACCCGCTCCGTAGATATAATTTTTTTCAATTTCGTAAATAAAACTTCATCACCCTCTCGGCAGGGGAGCATCTTTGGACCCATATTTATAGGAACTTTTTTTGTTATCTTTTCTGAAACGCCCTGTATAGAGGAAGATCCCAGGGCTGTCCGAAGTAATTCATTTGCTGAAAGACAAATCGTGGGACATTGAGTAGCGTTTATACATGTATGTAGCGTGAAGTTCAGTGGTTTTTTACCGATACCACGAAAGACAGGTAAATAAAATAAGACTAACTTAAAGTAAATTCTGATGATTGGTTTTTATACTATACTTACCTATACTTTGTGAAACATTACAAGGTAATATCCAGCACTGCTAGATACTTCCCACCGGCCATAACTTTCGCCAGAGGCACAAAGCAAAAGCAAAGCAAAGGAGTTTTATACAGGGTGTTTCAGTTTATTGTTGCATAACTTTAAGATTCGATAGAACTTTTAAAATTAATGCATAAAGTCTATATAAACATGGGTCGAAAAATGCGTGGCTTCCGAAATACAGGGTGTTTAAATTTACTTTCTAAAATAGTTTTTTTAAAATATTTCGAAGAATATTTGATGTATAACAGTGAAAATTGGTATACAAGGGTTTTTTGGTACGACAAAACGAACCATGGGCATAGTTTTAATGTAGCCGCTAGAAGGCGCTCTCTGCTGCACCTGTAGTGTATTAAAATGACCGAAAATTTTTTCTTAGTCCATTTTTTTGCTTTTTGAATTAAAAAACTGATTCTTTGCACTTTTCAACATAAAAAAGCTCTCTTGTGAGTTTTCGTTATAGTTAGCCGTTTTTGAGATATTTCGGTTTTTAAGGTTCGATGCTTTTTTAATTAATTATGGGAAAATAATATTTTTTTTACATTTTCGATTTGGGCATTATAAGTATGTAATTAAGATGATCGTTTAGATTGTATTTTTAAACACAGCAATAATTCCTAACTCCAAATAAACACAAAAAACAGAATATTAATTTGGTTAATTTTCCAATGTTATTTTTAACAAATTAAATTAATTATTTACAACTAAAATGCTATTGGATAGTTAGGACAAACATACAAAATCTAAAGTAGTTGCTCGAAATGTAAACCCAATTGTTCAATACAGAATTCACATCTACGAATGATCGAACGTGGTATAACATTATTCAAATAAGGTCTTATTTCATCACATGCATTCCTGATTCTGTCTATTAGCATATCTCTTGTGGTTACGGGAGTCTGGTACACTTCTTCTTTTAGAAATCCCCACACAAAGAAATCTAATGGATTTAGGTCAGGGGATCGTGGAGGCCCGGCGACTGGTCCTCCACGGCCGATCCATATTTCTGGATAATTTTCGTCCAGCCAGTTTCTAACTATTCTCGAATAATGAGCTGGGCAACCATCAAGCTGGAACCAGGCCAATCTTCTTAAATCTAACATAAGATCATCCCACATATTTGCATGTTCAGCCTTTAAAACTTCCAAGAAGGTCGCAGCATTTAACCTTGCAGGCAAAAGGTAAGGTCCAAATAGTCGATTAAGGTAGATACCAATCCACACGTTCACACTAAATTCATGCTGAACATTTCTTTCCCGAACTGCATGCGGATTTTCATGCGACCAAATATGTTAATTATGAAAATTTACCACTCCACGTCTAGTGAAGCATGGCTGATCGGTCCATAAAACGTTACTTAAAAACTCCCTATTATTATCAGTTCTATCAAGACTCCACTGACAAAATGTGATTCTTCGTTCTCCGTCCCCTGGCTGTAGTCCTTGCACAGGTTGCAAATGGTAAGGACGTCTATGGTCATTTCTAAGATCACGGTAAACATGGCTTGCTGAAATTCCCAAGGCACCAGAAACTCTCCTAACACTTGTGGTCGGATCTCTATCAAACTCACGCAGAATCATACGGGTAAATCTGCGCTGACGAACATTTATGTTTTGATCCCTTTGGGGATTTCCAAAACCATTTTCAATTATTTGGCGATGCACTCTTACAAATACTGAGCGAGTTGGATGTCGTCTGTTTGGAAATCTTCGTGCGTATTCTTTGGCTGCTTCTGCTGCGTTTCCTTTTACAAAGCCATACACAAAATGACTATCCGCTAACGCTTGATTGGAGAATAAAAATGGCATTTTTATAAAACTTACAAAAAAAAAACAGGTAACTAAATTTCGTGCATTCACAATTGCAAAAAAACGTTTCAGGTTTCAACAGACAACAAAACTAACTGTCAACTAATTTACGTTTAACCTTATTCTGCTTTCAATTTCAAAAATATTTGCAGGCACAGCCTACTTCTAAAAATTATCGAGATACTGACTTTTTAACGTTATGTTATCATAAATAATTAAAAATGCATCGAATCTTGAAAGTCGAAATATCTCATAAACAGCTAACTATAACGGAAAAATTGCACTAAGAAAAATTTTTCGGTCATTTTAATACACTACAGGTGCAGTAGAGAGCCCCATCTAGCGGCTACAGTAAAACTATGCCCATAGTTCGTTTTTTCGTACCGAAAAACCCTTGTATACCAATTTTCACTGTTATACATCAAATATTGTTCGAAATATTTAAAAAAAACAATTTTTTTAAAAAGTAAATTTGCTTATATAGACTTTATGCTTTAATTTTAAAAGTTCTATCGAATCTTAAAGATATGCAACAATAAACAGAAACACCCTGTATCAAAGTTATAGGGTCTAATATATAGTTGTTTTGTATACAGTATGTTTCAGAAAAAGGCCTATCGAGTAAAGTTGTATTTATTCAAACGGCACTGACATCCTGTATACCTACAAAAAGTTATTTCTTGAACAAAATTTTACGTTAGACTATATGCTTTTTGAATAAAACCTTTTTTTCTAAACACTTCTGGAGGGACACAACGTTTAAAGCTTATGGCAAGTTATGGCCGGCGGCAAGTGCCTGGCCGTGACGTACATTATCTACATTGTAATAATGTTTTACAAAGTATAGTAAAAAACTGCCATCAGAATTTAAGTTAAGTGATTCGTATTTTTACTTACGTGGTACCGATAAATCAGCCGTCTATTCACCTGAGCAGGTACCTACGCGTATGCAGTTGTTTGAAGTACAAAGTATTATAATAAAAAAAACTACTCATTGCCCTGTGTTGTATATTTCAGAAGATAAGGTATGTCTGGCAGTTAGATCTAAATGAATGTTCTGAACGCTATTCTCGTATCGCAATTACATGTGATTTGGGAGTCACTCCTAAGTTTGACCAAACAAGATGTAGCTAAACCTGGGATCCCACGAGTATATACGTATATTAGGTTTTGACCAGTTAGTTACACCAGGAATTGACTGGTTAACCGTTGAATTAACTGAGCATTGTCTATAGGCGAATCAAAAAATTGTGGCAATGTACATGTAGTAGGAATAATACGGATATTCATAAAATCAAGAATTTGTTTATACGAAAATAAGACATTTTTTTACCTGTAGAGCACATACCATATAAGCATATAATCAAGAACGAATACCATAAGTACATGATTCATGTTTCAAACTAAACCATACGAGACAAGAGCTTGCGTTCTATCTCATTTTTTGGACAAGTTTCACTATGTATTTGCAACGCATAAAAGGCAGTACATTTCGAAAATAAAAATCTGATTAGGACAAATACAGAGACATGCCATAGGAGTCAGTTGAGGAACACGCGAAAAAGGTTTGATTATTATCCAAATTTGACGAGGATACAAACAGCAAAATCAAATCATAACATTTACTTTTTACTAACGTTTCTGCCACCAAGGTATCCTTTTTCAAATTAATTTGAGTTGATTTAGTGATTATTAAAAAATGTTATTTCTCATATCAAATTGTCCTACTCATTATACCTCTATGATGTAGGAAATAGAAATGATAGAAATCCTGAGCTCCAGGTCAGTACGAAAGAAGTCTTTTAGCACTCTTAACAATAGTCCAGGATCTTATCTGTCATGATATGCACGACATATGTAAATAGTTGCGACTTTTGTAGGTTAAAAAAATAACTTTAGTCGTTCGAATAATGTAATGAACTACCCAAGTTGCATGTGTGTGTTGAATGACTTTAGAAAACCAGAACGCAAACAATTTGTTGGGTAGTAATTTCTGGTGTAAATGCTACAGATTCATTTTGTACTTGCTAAAAGCTCTTTTATAGTCAACGTTGCAGACTAACACAAAAATGTTACTTGCTGAGCTGTTCAGCCCAGTAGACGTCAAAGCGTGATGGATATTCGTGAAATGGGGTATACCCAGCTTGCCTTTAACCCTAAAAACTACCCCATGCACAATGGTGTTAACAACAAAGACGCATTAGTAGTAGAATTTTGAACTTATATCTCAGGTACTTGTCACCTTACTAACATAGTCAAAGTACAGTCTGCTGAATTTGTATCTGTTGCATAGGTGTACAGAGTGTTCCAAAATAACATGCCAATCTATCGAATACACATGGTTCCAAAACTTTCTATGAAGAATCTCTTACGTAGATACTACAGGCCTGTAGAGGGCGCTATTGGATTTCGGTTTTCCTCAAATAACCATGTATAATTCAACAAAATATTGATAACGTAGCAGCACGAGGACTAGAGATATAAAGTTGGGCTCATATGATGGGGATGAAGCCAAAAGCATCGAGTGCGAGGGCGGTACTATCTCGTAAGTACACTGCACAGGAAATCAATTTCAGGTTATGCGCATATGGCATCTCACTCGTATTTACATTGCGCAGAACCTGAAAATCAGTTTCTGCGCAATGGCATGAAGCATCTCTCTCAGTTGCTGTCATCTTGACTAAACCACAAAGCAGACGCCCAACGCCATGCCCTACGCGCATTTGATTTCCGAGAGCCACGCCCTTCTTGGCGACAGGATTGGCCTCATACGAATACGTGTATCCCTTACACAGCTTAACCTCTTATCTCTAGTTTTCATACCACTTGAAACGTTAGTTGATGTTGTCTATGGGAAATAATCCATTCATTTAGATTGCGAGGGATAGACTGCAAAAAAATAATCCAAAATCATATTTTTGGAAAGCCAAATAATTTAGCTATTTATTTGGTTTTCATAAAATGGGTCGTTTTAGAGACAAAGACTTTCTATCGATTTACATAGTCATCACTCCCCAAAAGTCTGAAATCAATCTAAAACTTAATCAAGTGATCTAGAAATTTATATCGTGTTTTTTTCGGATCGCTAATCCGGAATTTCTTTTCAGATTACTATGTTTCCAAAATGACATACAGAAACAAGAGCGTTTTTTAAAGAGCATCTTTTATCTAAATAAAACAAGAATACATTTTCAAGCTTAAAGATTAGGCTTTCAAGGAATTTTTTAGCAATATTGCGTTCGGGGTAGTCCATGAACACCATTATGTTAGGTAAAAACACTCCAGCAAGCGTTTACAATTTGGCTGAACTCTAAAGTGTCATTAAAAAGTTATTTGGGGAAAGGGGTTTTCAATAGCATCCTCTAGGAGCCTGTTTGTCCGTAGACAAGCAAGGTACTTGACACCGCGACTAGAATTATCGATAGCAAAAATAAGGAATCAACCCCTAGATAAAACTAAAAACACCACTCCACTATTTTAACGAACACTGGATATCACTACTCCACACCTTCAATAACTCAAAGAACAAACTAGACAAATCATCTAGATCTACTTACTAATATCATGGTGGTTGATGGTCTGACTGGGCATGCAAATGTTGTTCCAATTATTTATAGGAAGAGTAGGCAGGGTCCATTTGTCGTGTTGCACCTGATAATGGCCATGCCACACCGGCAGTCTTCTTCCCCTTCCAGTGTACGGCATTTCGCACGAAGAAGAGGATGATGAGTCGTAGGCCACGCCGTTCACGATCCACATCAATACCGGAGCAATTCGAGATCTAGGATCTATGGGTGGACACCCGCACACCAGGGGCGTACATACTGTCCAATAGTCCAAGATGCTTATCAGCAAGATTTTAGAAAATCGAGTTGAACCGAGTATGTTTTCGGAATATTGTGCAAACATTCGAGGGGTCGCTTCTTCGTACCATTTAAGACAGTAGCGGGCATAAAAGCATTGTTTACCTCTTAAGGAGCTTGACAATGGCATAAGCGTGCTTTTCCAAAGATAGTACGTGAAATATTACTTTTTCAGCAAGAAAATATATATATTTATCAGTATGTTTGAAGAGTTGTGAATCAAAAAATATAGTAAGAAAGTTGATCTTAATTGAATCGTCCAGGACTTATTTGTCTGCTTTTGACAGGCAAAACAAAGTTTGTTTTTACCTATATATTTTCTGACTCATCACAAAATTTGTATAATAATAATAATAGAAATGACGATAAGCCGTCTTTTATCAAAAACAAACTACAGATAATATATGTTATGTATTACCTATAATAAAATTACTGAGCGGCTTAATGGCGAAGTTTAGCTATAACAGCTATTCTAACACTTAACCATTTACTGCATAAAAATATTAGATGGTAGAAAAGTACAGCTGAACTACACATAAATTGAAACGAGAAAAATGCGCAAGAAACTGATCACAACCTAAACATGACTTAGCAAAAAGTACAGTGCTGGAGGAAACACGTTTAAAAAGCATCATTAAGCAGAAGAGATTTTAAATGTTGTCTAAAGCTTTATTGTTCTATAATCTAAACTATTGTACAACACGCACGCATTGTATGAGAAGGGCCGTTTGAAAATAGTTTTTCACGTAAATAAATTGGAGGTCCAGAGAAGTTACTTACCTACGTATAAAGGGTAAGGATTCGAAACACGATCAAACTTTCTCAAACTAAATATGTAACACATGCAGTTATGTTGCACAACAGATATTGTGTGACGACTCGCAACATCTAAGCAAGGTTAATAAACTAGATTGCAAAAACTAAAAATAACACAAAAGATCACACAACTTTTTTCGCACCTTAAAATTCAGCAAATTTCTGTTCGCTTAGCATGTTCTTACGTATTTGACAGTTTCAGAAAAAGCAAGATTCTGATCATTAATACATATACTTAAAGATGTTTTGCCTACATCTCTTCTGTGGTTTCTACATAACAGGACAGCAGCAGATTTAACGGCACTAATGGTTGGGTTGTTATTGGATGGGTAGGTGAAAATGGAGTCAGTGTCCTCGTTAATTTCCATAGTTGCATTCTGGAGGTCCTCGAGGCAAAAGAAGTGAAGCAGTTGAGTGTCATCCGCATATGACTGTAGCTGTGAATTGAGAATGGACTCAGCTACATAAAATAAAAATAACAAAGGGCCTAAAATTCAGCTCTAAAGCACACCAGAAGTAATAAAGTACTCGTTTGACAAAACTTTAAAACTTCAGAAACTGAAACTGATATCTCCATAGGATACGAAGTGATAATTAAATTTCAGGTTTCAAATTTTTGGGTCTACCATCTACGTATTTGAAAAAATGGTGCACAAATCAGTATCTAATCACAAAGCGAGAAAAAAGACGATTTTTGAAGATTCAGACGCCTGTCACTTTTCTTAAATAACATTTGAAATTTGGACGACCTATATCTATAATCAAAAAAAAATCATGATAGCATAGTGAGTTTTTGAGGCCTCACATGGTGGTGTCCATGGGAAGCAAATAAAAAAAACAAATCATCAAGGATGGGCTAGCTCTAATGAAATTTTGTTAATTTCCTCATGTCCCATATAATAATGGCTGAAAAAATAATATCCTTGGAAAATCTACTCTTTCAGTGAAAAAAGTCTTGTTTGATTTCGATTATATGAATGTACGTATCTGCGAAACGGAACAATATTTCGAAAATATTCAGTGCACGATACAGTCCAAAGAAACGGCCCTTATACCTGTTTGAACTTAACTAAACTAAACATAGAGAGGAGTAACTCTTCAGGTTTCGTTCCTGACGCAGCGTTGCAGTCTCCGGCTGAAATTCGTGTCTTGCCAGGCACTGACAGGATGAATCATTTTTATTTTAAATCACCCCTTAACACATTGAACGGTAGCCTAAAAAAACTCAATAATATACAAATTTTATTTATTTCCATGCATTTCGCGCCAGGAAAACCTTATGTAATTTAACACAGAATTCCGACAGCGACAGCGCTACATAATAAGTTAAAAGTAAGTATATATTGTCGGTCGTGTTGACAGACACAGTACCATTGGAATAGTTCAGTGTCAGTGCCAGTTAAGTGACTGACAAGACGGTCAATGTGTTGAATAAGCTTCAATGCCAATGTGGCGGCCATTTTAAGACCATGTTTTGATGGATGGAAGAGGTTTGTGAGGAAGCTATTCGGTTCGGTTTGTAGCAGTGTGGAATCTGTGGCATGTGGGGTCAACTGAAGCTTGGCAATGATGCACATATCTTGTTACCATCATTTGTCAGATCAAAATCTTAAATCGATAAATGTCTGTTATTTTTATCGATATTCTCATATTCTTATACAAGCCTAAACCCAGGATTCCGCTCGCGTGGAAGTAGGGTAAAGTATGTTCCAGTGCCAAAAAAATAACAATAATGCACCTACGGTTTTCGGATCCGGGTACCCGGGTCGGATACACCCGGTATCAAGGATTTTTCGGACTCGGGTGATACTTGACAAAGTTTCAGGTACCCGGGTATCAGCAAAAATTAGGAAATTTTATTTTTCAGGGCTTTGAAGAAAATTTCATAAGGATCCTATTTGTTGACAATGACCCAAAAAGACCGGTGCGATATTCCTTTTCTTTTTTTCCTTTTTGAATGATTATGCAGTGAAACTGTAACAGACACTTCAAAATACTCCTTGGACAATTCGTGCTCAAAATCTTGGAAATAAGAGTGTTGTCACTTTTAATTGTCATGTTTCATTTTTTGTTAACATTTTTATTCGGTTATCAATTTTGCAGATACTTTTTTCACGATAAATAGGCTATCGGTGATTAGCCATATTAAAGTTCTCGTAAAAATATTATAGGTCATTATACATTATGGTAATACAGGTACAAGCAAGGTGACATTATTTATTTATTGCTTTTTATATACGAGATCTCTAAATGAAGTGATGAGACTGGAAATGTAGCGTACGATCTGGTAACACTGGAGGCATCGGGCTTGGAGGGAAGACAGTGGAACTGTGATTCGCCTTCAGTACTTGAACTCGCTCGAGTCTTGTCCGCAGCGGTTTTTTTCGTGTAACAGTATTTCCTATTGTGTTCTAAAAATGAATGAATCAATTTCGAACAACGGTATGCTATCAGGTTTTGTTTCAGACTTGGGCACAATGCAATGGCAACTATTGCTAAACTTCAGTGTTTTGTCAAGAACCTCATTTTGGGAGAGTCGTAAACTTTAAAATAGTTACTCCAGTATCGATGCTCCAGCACTGCTATGAAGAGTGAAAGAACCATCTCCAGCGCTTCAGAAGGGAGTAATTTTGAGGGTAGTAATATAAAATTGTAATTATATCTTAATAGAAAAATAAAAAAAAAAATTGTCTTATCACTTAATTTACAGACCTGGTATGTACCTGCTACAGATGGATTTTTGGAACAGTTGACTTTTACAGAAGAGCTTTGTGGAGTTCTAAAAACAAAGTTAGACCGGATTCCAATACTTCATCTGCCAATCCAAATTCCCTTGGTGCTTGTGCATTACATTACCAAGTGATTTACGAACGTGCCTCAGCTGATGAGCCAAACGCCGGACATTTGCCATTTGGATTCCAGAACTCGTTGCAACATGGCATTAGCTCCTGGATAGTCACAGTCACCGACCAGTCTGCCACGTGTCGCCGGTTTTTCCTTTACAGTTACGCACAAAAAACGAACAGCTCGAAAATACAGACTCTCACGCCAAACTAATGGATAACATGAAGTTTTATTTAAAATTGAGAATACCTAGGTACGACCCGGGTACCCGGATATTTTAAAAAAATACCTGATTCCCGGGTAACAAAGTCAAAGTCCGGGTACGCAAAAACCCGCTATATCCACTCATTATGCTGTGTTTTTCAGACTTTTCCTAAAATCTAGCACGTATGAATATCCTTTGTGGCACTAGTCATGCCTATAATTACCAATTTTCAATAGAATATAACAAAACCTGAATGGCACTTGTACGGGCATTATCAAAATTAACATAAAAGGTAGGGCGTTTCATGAACAGGCTGGAATGTGACGCAAGTTGTGAAGTCTTTAGAAATTAGATGACTCGACATCTCATTGTTTATGTGCGTTTATTGTAAAAATGGCGGAATTATTTGTGTCATAATAATGTAGGGCGTGTGTGCGAGCCTGGCGTTGGAACAATACCTTTTAGTAACGCGTAGATAGCATATTTTACTCGGATGGTATTATTACACCTCAATGCATTCCAAAATATCTACAGGGATCTTTGGCGCGCTTTCAGGAATGCAATGACAGTATGAAGTCAGTTTTTTGCCTTTAATTTGGGTAGATTCTGAGATTTAGGTGTTCTAGGGTGCGATGCTGGAGTATTGCTAATGAACAAAAACTTTTCAAACAAAACTACTCATGGATAGGCACATTTCTGAAATATTTACAATCATACAGGGTGTCCCAATTTTGACCCACATATCAAAGCTGATTTTTTTTAAAATGCCCTCCTTCTCATTACATATTCGAATAGGACCTTTTGAAATAATATTTTTAATAATTATTAGTTGTTGAGCTATTGGGCATTTTATCTAAAAAATAACAATGATTGGCAGCATGCATAGCTGCTGTATTGACAGTTGGAGCAGTGATTGTGTCAAAAGTTTTCTAT